AATCTAGCAGCTTCACAAAGCATCCTTGCAACTAGTGCCAATAAACTATATTAAATCAAACTGCGATAAAATTTATGTCAATAAAAATGATAAGCTCTGGACTTTTTTACTCTACATTGATCTAAGAGCCGATCACACAACAGAAATCTGCAACAATGGGAATCTAAAAGTGTGTTAATATTAGAGATGTACAGAATTTTGGCCACCGAAAATTTATCAGCCGAAATTGTTATGCCATTTAATGGACCCTCTAATATTTGTGGCTTCAGTCATTGTTAGGGTACTCTTTTAAATCGGGAAGCTTTAACAACTTATATTGAGATACATATCGTTATTACTTAATTTGGAAAATAATTATCGAGATTACATTTTTGCCAAATTGACCAGCCCTACTTCCAACTAGACAGTGGAATGAAATGTTCAACAAGTCGTGACACCATACTGTATGTTATTATGTTATTTTAACTCATAAAATAAGTTAATCTTGTTAATAGTAGTTTAAATGAAATGTCAAGTTATAGTAATTTTATTTTTGTTTGTCATTGTTTATACTTCAATATAGCATTCATTTATTTATATTTCTGTTTTAGTTTTAGCAATTTTATTTAATTCAGCTAAGTCGACAAGTTTAATTGTTAGAATTTTGAAACTGAGGTAATTAGATATTATAGTTTGATCATAGAGTGTATTTGACATTTTACATGTGCCATAGAACAAAATAGAGGCTCTCGGATTCTTTTGATTTTCCAAAAATAAAAATACATGCCGAGATCTTCATGTAGAATTAAGTTTTCAGACAGCTAAAGAAGTTTGATGAGGTGTTTTTTTTTTTCATCACAAGCTACTCATATGAATTCTAGATGTTTATACACACTGTAAAACCCAACAGTCAACTTTATCAAACGAAATGAGTGTAGCTAACTCAAAATTTGCTGAAAGTTAGTTCTACTAATTTAAAAAGAGTTTTGAACTCAGTGTTGAAGGTAATGAGTTAATTAAATACCTCAATACTTCAACTTAAAATGAGTAAGTTCACAGTAGGTGCTAGGGTGCAGGATGAATGAAATCCTCAGGAAATGTACTTCATAACCCACGTCCAGACAGAAATTTAAAGGGCACCTATGATGAAAATCATCTTTTGGAAGCAGTTTGGACAGAACTGTATGTAGGTATAGTGTGTCATATTGGAGTGATATAAGGACAATAATCTCTTTTCTTAAATTTCCTGGCATTAAAGTAGGATACAAATGCCTCCCTTACTGAGGCCCACAGCACCGTAACGTAAGAGTACGGTTTCCCCACCCACCGAATTGATTGACAGTCATGTATTAACATGTCTCTGTAGTAATGCATATAATAATATCAACAAAACATGCGCAAAACAACCAAGATTAAAAGATCTGTTGAGCTATCTGTGATCATTAATCATCATCAAATGTGATCAAGAATAAGTTTTACAAGTTTAAAACATTTTTAAAACAGTGCATGTTTGTAATTATTTACAGTGATTTTACAGTATTTACTATATCACCACAGCCACATATCAGTACAATTATAAAACAAGACGCTTCAATACCGTTTGTGGACGATAAATCAGGTTTATTTTGTACATTAACGCAACAGATATCCATCCAGAAGTGTTTATTAACATGTATCCTTTCACATCTACTGTGCAAAGTTTATTGCACACACTGTGTTTGAGTGTCCACTGTGTGTGTCTGTGTGTGCACGAACTTTGTAATGAAATTGTGTGTGACTCATCGAAAGCCTAGACTTAACTCCACAACAAATACATTAAATAATCATTGGGAAAGTTCACTGTAGTATTTCTCAAAAAACATTACTTGAGATCTGCTTCCTTTATGTCCATCACTGTGCTGTTTATTTGACACAGCTGAAGCGGAGATAGAGGCACACTCAGACAGGCATGTGAAAATGGTGGGTGGGGAGAACTAGCATTAAAGGCACAGTCCACAAAAACAGCTACAAGATGCTCAGAGCTGAAAATGGCAAACTTCTGAAAGGTATAATAAATAAGCTGATGCGTGTTTTGAGCTGAAACTTTACAAACACATTCTGGGGACACAAAGGACTTATCTTAAATCTTGAAAAGGGGTAAAATTGGTGCCGTTTAAAACCAGCTCCCTACCTGACAGTAAACATGTCCATGTAATCTGTCAATCAGACACGCTGAGCATGCAGATGAGCACAGGTGAACTACAGCACCAGCACTGAGAACTGTATGTGCTTCTCACTTATAAGCCTGTTTCTGTGGCAACCTGCTGCTACATGGTAACCAAGCGACAAGGGCATGCTGGGCTGCGGTTTGCTCCAGTGTCAATTTACTGATGAACTATGAGGCACATTGAGAGATGGCATTAGTGCAAGAACGTGAAACAAATATCTGTAAGCAATACATATGTATTTTGAGCTAAAGACAAATATTTGCTTACTACAGAGGACGATGAACACCAAAAACACCACTGTTGAAGCTGCCAGTAGAGGCATTTAGCGGTCATGTACATAAAATGCCAGTGATTGACAACTGGCTGAGAGTCTGGCTCCCAAACGGACACCAAATAACTTACATAAATTGATCATGGAGTATTATACTGAATGCTTAACTAAAGCAACATGTGTTAAGGCCAGTGTCATTGCTACTTTCATTTAAAACTATGCTGTAAAACCCAACAGTTATCTTTATCAAATTAAATGAGTGTAGTTAACTCAAAATTAACTGAAAGTTAATTCTACTCATTTGATAAGAGTTTTGAGCTCAGTGTTGAAGATGATGAGTTAATTAAATACCTCATTACTTCTTCTAAAATGGAGTAAGTTCACAGTACACATATAAATGAGTTTTTTTTAACTCAAATGGTTTGTTGCAATCGGTTTCCTCAAACGGTTTGAGTTTCCTTAACTTATTGGGTTTTATAGTACTCAGTTGGTTTGAGTTCTCTTCATTTATTAGGTTTTACTGTACTTAAATTGCTTCATTTTTTTTTAAACGGATCAAGTTCACAGTACTCATTAGGACTAGTTTTTTAACTTAAATGGTTTGTTGCAATCAGTTTCCTTAAATGGTTTGAGTTGCCTTAACTTTTTGGGTTTTACAGTGTACAAGACACTATAGCACCAGCTGAAGTTGGAGTTTAGCACAGACTACAAAACATGTAAAAAAAAAAAAAATCAATCCTATTTGAACAATATACTAAACTCTCTTTTTAAGCATAAAAACAGAGTATTATTGACTTTGACTGTCAGATATGCTTCGGCTCAAAGGCTTCCAAAGCTGTGATATACAATACCTATAATGCAATTCTGGTGACCTGGCCAAATTTCCTCTATTAGCCCTTTGTCCTGCATAGTTGTCCTGCATAGTTTAGCTTCAACTTCCTTCAACACGCCTGCCTTGAAGTTTTTAGTACACCTAGAAAGAGCTTGATTAGTTGGTTCAGGTATGTTTAATTGAGGTTGGAACAAAAATATGCAGGACACCGGCCCTCCAGGACTGAGTTTGGACACCCCTGATCTATATTCACCAAATTGGCTCTATCACTGTCTCTCCACTCCACCTATAGCTGATGTGTGGTGAGCTCAATGGCGCTGTTGTCCTGTGGCTGCAGTCGTCATTTAGGTGGGTGCTGCACACCGGTGGTGGTGTCATGAGAGCCCTCTCATGATTGTGAAACTCTTTGGGTGTATGGCCAAACACCCCCTTTTTTCCCCCGGAAAGTATTGTAAGGCCCCTCTCCACATTTATTGATATTATCGCTCATGTAAGTTTGCAGTAGGTATGGCAAAAAATTTGTTTTCAAACAAATCATATGTTTATGCACAAGTAATAGCCTCATGTAAAATATAAAAGCAAAACATCAGTTGGCCGTTTGTATTGGGTACACCTTTCCGTGCGGTGTAGCGGAGAGGAGTCGTATGCAAATGTCTTATTAATTTGGACGGCCTCATGCATACATGAAAAAGAACTTGGCACAGAAAATGCATTGGCGGGGTCAGGGACTCTTTGCTTTGAGAAAATGGAATAAAACTATAGTTTACGACTATCTTGGTATTTTCTGCATTCCCTGTTTCCACTATTGCTAGCGCTACAACCCGAAATGTTTGCAGCTTCATCACCTGGGTCCAGTATAGCTGCTGAAGGCGAATCAGTGAGACTGTCTTTTTTGTGAAGGATGAATTACAAATTGGTAAATTTTTTGGTCAGCCAGGGGATAAAATGAACTGAGGCAATATGATCACTTTACTAATTGTCAACTGCTAAAATCTGTTTAAAATATGACATGACCCCCCCACAGAGCTCACTGAGGCCCCCTTGTGGGCCGGTACCCACCTGTTGGGAACTGCTGCCATACACAATAAATACGCTATATAAATACATGTTACATTACATTACATATGTAAATTAAATGCTTTCTGATATTTTTTGCAAAAAGGGAGGGGCTAGTTTTTATGCCCCGCCCTGTTTTAATGTTTCAATTTAAATACTTAAAAATGTTGCACTTTATAAGGCATTTCAGTAGACCTTTAAAAACACCTCAGCAAATGTAAAGCCAATAGGCATCCTTCCATCTCAGTGTTAAGATTTGCATTAGCTGAAAATGCAAACGCCTGGTTAACAAGTTCAAACACTAAATAAATCATGTATACCCATTGCTGTGTTTTTTTGAAACTGAATGCGTTGATGTGTCTCATTACTGATTCCATTAATTTATAATAATGACTGCAATTACGGAAATGGTGATTGATAACATCAGACCCTGAGTCTTGATTGGATACCATAAGGGTAATGACTGTGTTTAATTAAACATTCAATATAGAATCTTGCTTGGGGATGTGAGCTAAACCAGTGAAGAATTTATTTCAGACTTCACCGAGATGCAATTCACAGCAACCGTTTTCTTTGCAAAGTGTGAAACCAGTAGCTAATTTACGATTTTAGTGTTAAACGAAACTAAAACTAATCTGAAATTGTTCCTCTGCAGATAACCAGTTCAGAATGTCCATCCTGGAGCGTCTGGAGCAGATGGAGCGCAGGATGGCTGAGATGGCCGGTCAGCAGCAGCAGGGCAGTGGAGGAACAGCTGGAACTGGAGGAGGTGGAGGAGGAGGAAACGGAGGTGCTAATAGCCAGTCTCAGGTACAGCAGCACATTGGTTTTGTGTTTAAGATCAGACTGTCGTTTTTTAATCACAGCAACAAGTGTGTTCAGTTATATTGCATGGTCAGCTTCAAATGCAAAATGCAAAACTCATGTTTATAAGATGCTGTAGGGGTCCATCCCATTTTTATTATTTTGCTAGAACTCATTGTTAAAACAACTTAATATTTTAGAAAAGGTTGTTAAAGTTTGCATAACCAAGGATTGATCTTATCCACCTGTGACCCACCCATAAGTAAATATGCAGCCTATATTTTCATTACCTGACCAGCGCATTAAAGGCAGCACTCACTGATATAACTGAGAAATTATGTGCTCCTATTGCACTGTGTTACCCATGTGATGAAACTCGTCGTGAAGAACGAGAAAAAAATGAAACATGCTAAACTTTCTGTAATGGTGTCATGAGGAATCGCAGGCTTGGTATCAGTTATCGTGAACTATGCCACATTACAAGAGAAGAAACAATTAAATCTTGTGTCACAACACCAATCTGTCTTTTACAAATCCTCAAAACACCCTATTGTCAAGGAAATCGTGATGAAATCATGCCATATTGGTGTGCTCTGACCGGGGCTTAACCGACAATAAAAATGGTGTGATCTGACGGGGGCTTTAGTCTTAAAGTGAACAATTAATTTGTGCAACCCAATCTGCTAAAATCTATATGCTTCTGTTCTGGATTAGCAGTCATTTTCCAATGACTGATAGATGAGTGAGCGCAAAAATAAAATTCATCACACTGTAATAAAAGTCAGCAACATCTCCTGTTCATGCAAATTTTAATGAAAGTCCTGTATGCTCAAAGAGACTGCATTTATTTGATCAAAAATGTAGTAAACTGAATAAATATTTTTATTTATTTATTGCTGTTTGTTTTTTTTTCTTTTTTACCATTTATGTGTGTTGTGATGAGAGATGCGTGGATCAGCTGAAATAACACCCGAATCTGTGACTTTATACTAATCATCCACCCGCTACACGCCTGCACATATACTTTTTATCAAATATATATATATATCTCCGCATCCGACCTGCACCTGATCGTCACTTGACTAATTTTAATTCATTGTTTAAGGTATGATGATAGATCACCGTGTATATTAACAGCAGATTCAGTGGGATAGTCTGCGCATATCTGTAAAATAATAGCCTACGTAATCGTAAACGTTTTAGATGAATATTTATTTATAAACACAAAAGTTTGTCTTTAGACATTTTCCTTATTTTCAAATACAGAAAATAAAAATAAGACATTTTAGCTTTTACAAATACAGGAGCAAGATAACAAAAAGGGTGCCACTTTACCCTAAACGGCAGCTATGTTGTGTTAACTTCGCCTTTTTCTTTTTTTTTTTATTATTATTATAACATTTTAACAGTACAAAAAAAAAATATATATATATATATATATATATATATATATATATATATATATATATATATATATATATATATATATATATATACATGCCAGGGGGTAAGCATAAATTAAATACAAATATACATATGTAATAATCAAATAAATACATTGTAGAGTTCACAAAGTTTTAAAGTGCGTAGGGCTTTCTTATTTAGAGAGTCTCTGATACTACTAATATATAAGCATAATTCTGTCATCATCACTTTGCCTTTTTCTTTGCACTGTGCAAAAACAGAAGAGCATCTACTGTGCTTAAATTCAGGCGATTCCGCCTCACCTTTAAAAATTCGGCAAGCTGCGCTGAATGAGCATTCGCTTTCACCGCTTATTGTAGGAATGAACAAGATTCTTCTCGCAAGGCGCTGCAGTCGTGGATATAAGAAATCTTGTTTCTCCCAGAACGATAGCAGATTTTCTCCTGATGACTCCTCTAACGGAAAGTTTGAACAGTACTCTTGCACTTCATCTATTATTTTGGGCGTCTCATCTTTCCATTCTGCAAAGTCCACTATCTGCTTTTTCGCTGGTCCACTGCCATGTCCTGCTACATCCACCCGCAACCCACCCGCAATTAATCAGTGTTTTTTTTTATTACCCGACCCGCAAAGTATCCGCAGCACTAGCTGATATAACTGCCATCCGCGCATCACTAGTGTGTTGCTGTCAAAATATGTAAAGCAATATATAGGCAGTCAATTCTCATCACCTTTTTTTAAAATAAACATAAACATAATTCAATTGTAAAATAAGACAGGTCAGTGGCTTAGATTATCATGAAAGTGTTCATTTGTTTGTTCACTTGGACTGTGGAGAAACGTAACATTTGTAAGTACTTATTTTTTGACTTTGTTTTGTGAGCGCGTAAAACCAATTCATTGAATCAATTTGTGTAAAAACTGCACACTATATTTTAGGAAAGAAAGGAAAGAGCATTTGAAAACATTAAACCATCTATTTGCTTCTGCAGTGTATTTCGGGACAGGCAGGAAGCTCTTTTGAGAGTCGTGTGGTGGTCGTTTGTGAGAAGATGATGAACCGGGCCTGCTGGGCCAAATCCAAACACCTGATTCACTCCAAGACCTTCCGGGGCATGACCTTGCTACACCTTGCCGCAGGCCAAGGCTATGCCACCCTCATTCAGACTCTCATCAAATGGCGGTGAGTTCAGAATATCTGTATCTAAGTGTAAATACAGTATTACCTCTATTATTGCTAATTATGAGAAATGGTATGTGTTGTCTCATCTAGCACGAAGCATGCAGACAGCATTGATCTGGAACTGGAGGTGGACCCTCTCAACGTGGATCACTTCTCTTGCACTCCATTGGTATTTTTCTCCAGCAGATTGTGTTTAAAGCGTACCTTCTGTACTTCTCTCACACCCCTTTTTCACGTTCTCTTTATTGCAGATGTGGGCTTGTGCATTGGGTCACCTGGAGGCAGCAGTGGTCTTATACAAGTGGGACCGGAGAGCACTGGCCATCCCAGATTCTCTTGGACGTCTGCCCCTCTCTATCGCTCGCTCCCGTGGCCACACCAAGCTGGCGGAGTGTTTGGAACAGCTCCAGAGGGAGGAACAGCAGCAGCAGACCCCGTCCTCTTTACCCCCCGCCTCCAGCATGTCTTTCTCTCCCAACCCTGACATCCCCACCTCCAACAGCTGGATGGTCAGCTGGGCCAGCGACAGTATGGTGGCGCCCAGCGGGCAGAACACTGGCACTGCCACCACTACTACAAACTCTTGCAGCAACCAGAACCCCGGTGAGAGCCCTAAATTGGTTACACATGCTATAGTTCATACACTGTCAAATCCTGGTTGCCTTCGTTTTTTTAAGCTGAATCAAATTAACTGTATGAGTCCATTGAACTTATATTATGTTAAACTGACCTAAAACAGCTTGCTTAACTTATAAAATTAAGTTAGAACAAGATTAACTTAGTTTAATAAGTAACAATGAATTAAAAACATATGCTGTCATGATGTTTATATATATTTTTTTGTGAACTATTAACAAAAATATCACAAAGGTGGCATTTATATACCATATAAACAGTAATGTTGTGAAATATTGTTGCATTTTTAAATGTGTTCTCTGCATTTTTTAAAAGATTTGCACAAAATTTTGTGATATTTGTGAAGCTTTAAAACACTTTTAAACAATACATAAAGTTGAGACAACGATATTTGTGTAAAGTGTACCTGCTGACCTAAATATTTTAGTTGAATCAATTAACCTTTTCCAGTCATGTCAACTTACATCAATCAAACTGACTAAAACGATTAAGTTAAACTTTGTATAACTTAAACGAATTAGTTACAATCTGATTTACTTATTCAAATGAGTTTTAACTAAATAAATAAAATAAATAATGAAAATATTTGTTGTCTTGACTATTTGTCATTAAATATTTTTACAGTGTGTAAAGGCCAGTGGTGGAAAGAGTACTGAAAAATCCTACTTAAGTTAAAGTACTTGTACTTGCCTAAAAATTTTGTGCAAGTAGAGTAATAGAATCTGTTGTAAATATCACTCAAAGTATGAATAAAAAGTAGACCTTTCAAAAGTACTCATGCTGTAAAAAGCTGATGCGTTTACATGTAATTTGTGGATGTGTGTAAACGTAACATTCGGTAGTGCATTTAGTTATTGTCCAGCAGGCACAGAACTTCATAAGATTTTATGATTAGGTTAGATTTAGGTCAAGGCATCAGGTGACCAAATTTCAATGTCTAGCCAGCGTCTAAGGACAGTGTTATTTTGATGTCCAATAATGACGTTAAATGACGTTGATTTTAGTTTGTGTTGGAAAGTGACCAAAATCCAACGTTGAGACAACATCTTAAACCAATTTCATATTGACGTCAAACACTGATATTTATTCGTCAGGAATGGCAACCAAAATCCAACCTCTGATAGAGATCATATTGGTAACATCTACTCAACATCAAACTGTTAAATCATTAGACGTTGATATTTGGTTGATTTTAGGTTGGACGTTAGACATTGACGTCGGCCTAACGTTAAGTTCTGATGTCACCCAATTTTCATATCCAAACAAAATCAACATTCTCACAACATTGGTGTACAACGTTAATCTGATATTGTGTTGACATCCTGTGGCTGCTGGGTGTTTAAGGCAATTTCGCTCATCATACAGTAAATATCCGTCATTTTTTCATCAGTGACATGCATCTAAACAGTCTCTAAGTCAAAGTGTGTAAAGATTGTGGACAGCTTATTGGACATTTTTAATGGTTCCAAACAGTTTGCTGCAATTATAAAACGTCCATGTTTTGAGGTAGTTTATTATGATGCGATTTACCTTCTATGTGCGATTTGATTGGACGGGAATTACAGGACTGATTTTTACAATTTCCATAGACAAGAAAAAAATAAAGTAGTGACTGCAGGTTGAAGGAAAATAGTAGAGTAAAAGTAACAATACTGCACTAAAATGTACTCAAGAGAAGGTAAAAGTACACATTTATAAATCTACTTGATAAGTTACAATTTCTGAGAAAACTACTCAATTACAGCAGTTTGAGTTTTTGTAATGTGTTACTTTACACTACTGATAAAGACAATTTTGAAGAAAGTATAAAGACAATTTTGCAATAAATTCACTTATGATAAATTAATGTTTTCATGTGGTGTGTTTACAATTTACAAATTTAACTTGCAAAATTTGAAGTGTTAACAGCATATATAAATACACCCCTCAAAAATCTCTCATTTAAATTATTTTCTATAGGATGCTTTAAAATATTATATTTGTGCATATACATTAGATTAGTAAGTACTGAAGCCAAATCTGGAGCTTATCTAATAAAATAACTTACAATATTGGTTTAAAAATGTGTAGCCCAAATGTATATGTTATAGAAAAATATTAAATAACATTTTTACAAATAGCAAAAATCAAGAGAAACAAAAAATATATACAATTTTGTAGAAATGTTGTAGCTTGTATTTTTGGCAATATTTTGCATGAATTTAAATGTGTTATTTTTCCATTTCTAAAGATTTTATGTGATTAGAATATTAATTTAATAAATATATCTGTTTAATAAATCTGTTTTGATCAAATGCACTATTATATATTATCTATATTCACTGAGAAATGGATAAAAATGTTCATTTTTAAAATAGGCTGTACTCATATACGCTGAGGACTGTACATAACACATTTTGTAATTGTTTTATTTACTTACTATCTGAACAAACACAATTGATTCCAACAAATCAGAGTTTAAAAGGCTGCATATGGGAAAAATAAGGGCTGTTTTAGGGGAGTTTAGTTGACTGCTTATTGAAAAATCTGCAACTTTGAGCTCATGACTTGAAAATCAGCACTATTTTGAAAACAGATGAACTAGTGTTGCCTTACTGAAGGGATTACAGCAGATATGCTTACCGAATGTAATACCTCATTGCATTTGCTTCAGTCTTCTGCTGCACAATCCAATTCCAGCTGTCTTATTTTGTTTAAAATTATCACTAATAGCACCTCAGAGACCAAGCAAATGCAATAAAACATCACCTCCATCCTCTCTTCTGAGTGCAGCTCACTCTTTGCTTCTGTTTTGTATCTAGATTTGAGAAGGCCCAGATCAGAGCCCTCCAGCTACTACAGCAACGAATGCCAGAGGGATCTCCCCCTCGCCAAGAAACACAAGCCCAACCCTGAGCTGGTTCAAGCACAGCTGGATAAGCCCATGTCAGTTCCCTTGAACATGGAGCAACAGACACATAAACTGTCAACCAGCCCTAAGACCACCCCATCCAGCCCGGATAAGAGTGTCTCTGAGGAGGGTTTGGGCACAGGGAGCATCCCACAAATTAAGATGTCCTCTTTCCGTGGTGGACATAAATGGAGCACCAGAGAGGGGCTCAGGAAGAGCAGCATTAGCAACATGGGGAAGGAGAAGTTGGCCAACCGGTTGAGACAGCGTGGCGAGTCCCTCAGCATGCTGGGAATTGTGGAGAGGGAGATGGTAAACACTGAGATGCTTTCTTACAAGGAGGATCAAGAGAACCAGGACTGCCTCTCGCACATGGAAGACCTGCAGGTGAGAGAACTAGCTAGAATTAGCATAACTTCTAGCTAAAGCTAAAGAGAAAAGAGGTTGGTTTTGTTATTAATGACAATATGCTGAGTAAATTACATCACTGGGAAAATAAATGATAGTTTTTGGGAATAAATAGTCAGGTTTGAGTCGCTTGTTCATCAGGTGAAAGACAGAAGCCAATCATATGCAGTCAGAGCCGGAAAAAGATTTGATTCGTTCATTTTTGAGTCCTCTGGTTTGAGTCATTCTTTCATCATGTGAAAGACAGAAGCCAATCATATGCATTTAAAGCAGTAAAAAGATTTGATCCATTCATTTCTCGAATCCTCTGGTTTGAATCGTTCTTTCATCATATGATAGACAGAAGCCAGTCATATGCAGTCAGAGCCGGAAAAAGATTTGATTTGTTCATTCTTAAGTCCTCTGGTTTAAGTCATTCTTTTATCACGTGATATACAAATGCCTATCATATGTAGTCAGAGCCAGAAAAAGATTTGATACATTAATTCTCGAGTCCTTGGTTTGGCCAATCAAATGCATTTAGAGCCGGAAAATGTGATGAACGAACGACTCAAAAAACAGATGATTCGAAAGGTGAACTAATCATGACTCCTTTCAGCTCAGACTGTGTGCTTTGGCATTATAGTTATGACTTGTTTGCAGTGTGACCAACATTCGGGCTAGTTGTACATGAGTTTGGAAGCAACTCATAACATCTTAATCATATTTTGGCAAATTGAACGAAATGACTCGAAAAAAGATTAGTTCATCTCAATAAACGAGACTCAAAGGTCCTAGTCAGTATGATACAAACTTCCCATCACTATTTGTAACAAGTAAAGGGTGAGTAAATGATAACAAATGTTTGGGTGAATCTCTTTAATCATTTGTTTTTTAGTTTACACCATTAAAAATGCTGTTTTATTAGAGACGTCACAAACAGTTGTATAACAGGTACAATACAAGAACACTTCTTGTTGATTTCTGCATCCTCTACAAACAGTGACTGTTTAGTTACTGGGCTTTCTCTTATGTTGGAGCAGGGGTGTCAAATTCAATTCCTGGAGGGCCGCAGCCTTGCAGATGTTAATTCCACCCCTGCTTCAACACTGCTATCTGTAGGACTGTGTCCACAATCACATCCTTCCATGCTATATAGTACACTAAAAACAGTATGCGAGCCAAGTACTATATTTGATTTCATAGAGTTTGAAAAATATTATGCGAGAAGTACCCGGATGGACCTACTACCTCCGGCAAAATTTTGAAGTGGGTAGTTCAGATGATCATGTCAGGGTTGTAGTATGTCAGAGTTCCATTCATGCAACTCACATTCATACTGTCTAGAACACACTTTTCTAACAGTCAAGTAGTACATTCAAATTCAAATGCAGTACCTAAGTAGTAAGTGATTTCAAATGCAGCCTAGGTATCAAACAAGACTCAATTAGTTTGATCAGGTGTTTGTTTAGGGTTGGAACTAAACTGTCCAAAGCTGTGGCCCTCCAGGAACTGAGTTTGACTCCAGTGTGTTAGAGCTTTTTAGCAGAGCTTGTGTTCTTACATGATTCCTCACTACTGTCATTTTTGTTGTACGTGATAAGAGTTCACATTTACGCATTGACTTATTGCCATGTCTAGTGGCATGGGTGTCATCGGAATATTTGATTACAGTATACAACTCCAGAGGTATTTCAAACTTCTCTTTTTTACCCCAAATGAAAAATGAACATTGCTGCAAGTATACCAGGGTCTTAACTGTCAACCACCATCATTCACACCTGTACTGATGCATTTTTTCAGCAAATTGACCCGGCAAGCAAGCATGGCTACAGGTACAGAGAGTCAGAGGGAGATATAGGGCACCATCTGTCCTGCTGACATGTGAAATCAGCACTAGAGAGCCACAGTCCTGGCCTCATTCTCTGCCCAGACCTTCGCCACCACATAATACACTTCTGCCATTGATTTGCTCCCGTCGCCAGGAGTTAGTCTAGCCCTATTCATCTCTGTCACTATATGGGAATAGAGGAGCTGTAGCATAGTGTTCCTCCAAAGTAAACACAACACCGCTCAATTGATCTGCCGGGCTAGCAAGTGTATGTGCATTTGACAGTCTAGAGAGTCTTTTGTTGTACATCTTTGAATGCATGTGTTTTACCTTACATCTTGCAGGCCAATATGATGAGCCTGGCAGAGCACATTATTGAGGCGACTCCAGAGCGGATCAAGCGGGAACATTTTCCAGCTGTAGAGTCTGTTCCTCTGGACAACAGTGGCCTCACCAACACCATGAGCTGGCTGGCCAGTTACCTGGGAGACGTGGAACACCTACCCAGCATCATTCACTTGAGGTTAGTGGACATCTCTTATAACCCATAGTGTGACCAGGGTGAGAAATTAACTTATTTGACTACCAGCCATAGAGGTGCCAAATGTTCATTTCCCACCCACACTCTGATTTATGTGCTGACAAATAATTTAAAGGGGTCATGAACTGAAAAAATGTGAATTCCCTTAACCTTCTGATATTTAATAGCTCATAGATTTTAAGTTTTAGACCTCAAAACTTTCTTAATAGTTTAAAAACAGCTTATATTAAAGTCAATCGGCCAAGAACCTTTTTACTATTTCTTTGTCCATTGTTGCAGAATGTTTACTCTGTATATACTTTTTATTTAGGTGTTTTTAAGATAAAGCACAGCAGTGTCAGTCTGAATGAATGATGTAGAACAGTGGTCCCCAACCTTTTTATCACCACAGACCGGTCAACACTTGAAAATTTTACCGTGGACTAGGGGGGTACTTAGGTTTGCCAGGCGACCATCAACCATCAGAGGATTACAAGCTGATAAAACTATGCTGCCACTCTGATTATCTGATACAATTTATTTATGGAGAAAAAGTGCTGCAGTGATCCGGTCTCTAATAATAAGTCTACCAAAATGTGTTATTCCATACAATGTATGAAGCTGATTGGTCAGTTCTTGTCACATGACTTGTGGTCCGCTCATGTCAATTATTCAACTGGGTGCCTCTGGACGGCGCAAACTCTAGAAAAGACGCACGCAATATACAAACGGCCCCTAAACGGCCGCCGTCATTTGCAGTCTCCAGCATTTGATCTTGCACAGACATGATGGATTTGTTGACAAATGCATTGCGGGTCCTTTCCTTGGCAGTTTGCAGGTCCTTCACTGGGCCTTTTCTTCCTACCAAAGAAACTGTACAGAAACTTCTGTTTCATACTCATTTTGCTGCTTGTGGGTTAAATTTGGGTGTTGAAGTGACCAAGATGCAACCGAGAGAATACTGTCATTTTCAAAATAAAATATTTTTCAAAACAAAAGATTGTTCAGACTCAAAATTAAAAAAAGAAAATAATTAATGATTTCTTGTGCAGCGCGGTACCAATTGATCCATGGACTGGTACCGGTCTGCGGCCCGGTGGTTGAGGACCACTGATGTAGAATGATGTGAACAGTAGTGCTTCAGAACTTGTCTATAGGGACCTACTCTAAAAGGTAAAAAAAATACTCTACTCTAAAAGATACACTTTTATACTTTGAGTGAGATACTAATGGTCTATTCCGATTTGGTGATATATGTTAAGCTAAGCTGACAGTGCTCAATTAGCTAAATAGATGCAAAAACGGTAAAACTCAATTCTTTAACTCTAGGAGACTTTTACAAAATATTTAAATGTGCCCATCATGCCAGTAAGCATTTACTTCAAAGTCTACATTCTGCTAAGCCTATTCAAAAAGTTGGACTTCAAACCTTGAGGCAGTTCATGACCCTTTTAAGAGGAAAACAAAACATGCCTTAATTAACTTCATATATGCATATGTGTGTGTTTTGTTAAACAGCCCCATTTACAGTGAACCCCTGACCCCTCCCTCCAACCCTAGCCTGAGCCCGGGTAACTCGCCCATGCGTGAAGGCCCGTTTGAGAAGCCGACTTTGCCTGCTCCGGCCGAGTGGAGTGAGTTTCTTAGAGCCTCCAACAGCAAAGTGGAGCGAGAGCTTGCCCAGCTCACACTGTCCGACCCCGAGCAGAGGGAGCTCTACGAAGCCGCACGGCTGGTGCAGACTGCTTTCCGCAAGTACAAGGTACAGGTCAAGGGATCGGGTGCCATGCACTACTGTTGATGTGTGAATAGAGACAGGATGTAAACGGCTATTCACGGGTATCGGTAGGAACAAACATGGGTCTCTTTCCTGCTTTGTCTGATTCCATAAACACACAACCACAGAGTAGTCAGTCCCCACAGCTTCAGCATGGGTAAGGTGGCTTAACCAGCGCATGGCCTGGCTTATAAGTAGCGATTGCTGCCTCCTGTGGCTGCCTGTAATGAGTTTCCACGAAGATTCGCCAGCTGGCCAAACTGGCGGCTTGTGCTCTGAGGCATCTGCTCTCTCAGCACCAGCTGTAGCTAAGAGAGAAGGGTGTCTTTTCTCCATGTCTTTTGTTCTCCTGTAAGTGAACAGCCTAATGGGCGTTTCCCGAGTGTTGCCCTCTCTTCAGACTAACCCTCTTTCCTCTCTCCCTGCAGGGACGGCCACTGCGCGAGCAACAGGAAGTAGCCACCGCTGTCATTCAGCGCTGTTACAGGAAGTACAAGCAGGTAATCCTTTAAGATGCTCCGACTTGACTTTTCCAACCTTTGCTGGATACCGGGTTAATATGTTAAGCATCAGCCAGACTTGAGGCCTGCTGTGGTGGCAATTGTTTTTTAAGATTTGTCAGAGCTGCAATGTCACTGTTTCGCATTCGTGAAAAGTGTATTCTTTTCCCTTTGCAAGCTAACATGGATAGCCTTGAAGGTAAGAGATTTATTGCATTATTTAAAGCATTTTCTTCTTTCTGGATGAATTTTAAAATGTATTTATTACAAATGGCCTTTTATACACAATGAGATTCACACTGAAGAAGCACGGTCAGTTTTGAGGAGGCTAATCCATCACTAACAATCATTCTATTATTCAATCAGCCTAAGGCCAAACCCCTATAAACAGTCAAACATGTCATAACCTCTGTTTACTCTTGACTGCAGCATCCCTCCACCACCCCAACTCCACACTATTACACCCGATTCCTACTTAAATCGGAGGGGGAAGTGCTCTGGAGCCGGGCTAGATACTGTGCTCAGACCCTATCTCTCTCTCTATCCTGATAAGGGAAAATAACACAAATTAGGGTGTCTTTCGGAGCTCAGAGCCAACAAATATGACAGCAGACCAAATACGCACATCCTATTCAGTCAAATATCTGTTAGTGTGAAATTAGTAGCAAGGGACATCGCATAATGATCAGGGGCTTTTAAAATAAGCATGACAACCCTATTGGGCTGCTATGGCTCTACAAAAAATGAGGGAAAATGAGTTATTGAGGTTTTTTGAGTGTTTAGGTTTACTTTAAATATGAGCTGGAACGATATTCATTCAGAAAAGCAATATATATAAATGAATGGAAAGTTTCTCCTTAGGTTTTATGCGTCTAACATTTCATAGTGGGTAGAACTTAATGCAAAGTCAATATTTTCTAGATCATTATTTAGTCATCTGCAATGGCCTCAGTAGAGTAACAATATAAAAGTCGATTATTTAATTTCGGAAACAGCAAGTCATCTTATACGTATATCTGGTTTTATATTTTGGAAAAGGTGTCTCGGGGGAACATAAAGGTATTGAAGGCACAACAGAAGCTCAATACTGTATGCAGTATTTGCCGAAATAAGCCAAAAGCCACAACAGAATTCTTTGTGGAAAATACACTAAAATAAGTGAACTGCAAACACTAAAACCCTGCTCATTCTTGTAACTTTGTCAGTCTTGGCAATTTGGCCAAGTAAATAATAATAAAAAACAAAATAACTTGTGAGAAAGTGTACACCCAAAACCTTTAAATATTTACTCCCCTCCTGTCATCTCAAACACTTATTTATTTATTTATTTAACTGAATTCACCAAACAAGCAAAATATATATTTGAAAGGATGCTGGTAACATACTTTCAGTTCTCATTGACTTATTATATTTGGAATTATATAGATAAAGCTACAGTGCAAGTCAGTGAAATTCTAAATATTTAGGGTTGCCGAAATACACTCCTAGGGCGCTGGTGTCCTGCAGAGTTTAGCTTCAACTTGACTCAACTCCAACCTTGAAGCTTCTAGTATAAATAGTAAGAGCTTAATTAGCTGGTTCATGTACACACACTTTATTAGGTACACCTTACCAGAACCGGGTTGGACCCCTTTTTACCGTCAGAACTGCTTTAATCCTTTGTGGCATAGATTCAATAAGGTACTGAAAACATTCCCCAGGGGTTTTGGTCCATATTGACATGATAGCATCACGCAGCATGCGAATCTCCCATGCCACCACATCCCAAAGGTGCTGTATTGGATTGAAATCTGGTGACTGTGGAGGCCATTTGAGTACCGTGAACTCATTGTCAAGTTCAAGAAACCAGTCTGAGATGATTCACGCTTTATCGCACATCATTACACCACCACTACCAGCCTCAACCGTTGATACAAGGCAGGATGGATCCATGCTTTCATGCTGTTGACACCCAATTCTGACCCTACCATCCAAATGTCGCAGTAGAAATCAAGACTCTTCCAACCAGGCAATGTTTTTCCAAACTTCCATTGTCCAATTTTGGTGAACCTGTGCGAATTATATCCGCCTCAAGGTTTGACATGTTGTGCACTCTAAAATGCTCTTCTGCATACCTTGATTATAACAAATGTTCACCTTTCTTCCCTGTTCTGATGCTCAGTTTGAACTGCAGCAGATTGTCTTGACCATGTCTACATGCCTAAATGCATTGAGTTGCTGACATGTCATTGTCTATTAAGAAATTTGCATTGACGAGCAGTTGGACATGTGTACCTAATAAAGTGGCCGGTGTATGTATATCTAATTTGGGTTGGAGCTAAACTTTTTTTGGACACTGGACCTCCAGGACTGAGTTTGGGCACCCCTGTCTCATTGGAACAACGTAAATTACCGAATATTTATTTTTGGCTCAATTGTCCGCTTATGTTTATAAACCAATCTCAGTATAGGGACTAGCTTAAAAGAAAATGAATGAACCAATCTCAGTCACATAGGGAGCATTTACGTTTCTGTCATTAATTTTCGCCATGTGTTTATTTATCAGTATGCACTTTATAAGAAGATGACGCAGGCCGCCATCCTTATCCAGAGTAAGTTCCGCAGCTACCACGAGCAGAAAAAGTTTCAGCAGAGCCGGCGGGCGGCCGTACTGATCCAGCAGTGCTACCGCAGCTACAAAGAGTTCGGCCGGCTCAGGCCTCACCGCAGATCCGCCACCGCGGCACTGGTCCAGCACAAACTCAGGTAACATCCAAATATCTCTTCCTCAATCCAAACCTTACTGCAACGGCGTTTAGTGCTCCACAGTCAGCCAACAGCTCTCATAAATCTCGCCCAAGAGCCATACTGTTCTGAGCTTTGCCCTTTAGAATATTTTATTCATGTACAAGATGTAATATGCAGAATGAAACGTTTTAAAGTGATGTTTGTGTTTCAGAAGCAGTCTTCTCACCAAGAGGCAGGATCAGGCCGCCCGCAAGATCATGAGGTTTCTCCGCCGCTGCCGCCACAGGTATTCTCCCACTGCCACATCGCCCCCTACTGGACATATCATTTATCAAACACTGCTGATATTAATGCAAATGTGACACTCTTTTCTATTTTTTGGAGGATATATGGATGAAGTTGTAACAGAAAACAGGCTTGCAAAAAGTAGTTCATACACTGCAAAAAATGCTTTTTTCACTTAGATTTTTTTTGTCTTGTTTGTAGTCTGAATATCTAAACATTCTTAAATCAAGAAGCTTTTTCTAGACAAGCAAAACATATTTTCTTTTTTTAAGACATTAAGTTTCAAAATTAAGTTTTTCCTTAAAACAAGCAAAATAATCTGCCAATAGGGTCAGCAAAATGATTGTATGCCGAAAGGAAAAAGACAATTATTATGCGTATTCCATTAGCAGATTATTTAGCTTTTTTTAAAGAGCCTCTATTTTGCATTATAAATGGTAATATTTTGGTTCAGGGGTCTCCAACAACAGTCTGATACACACGCAAGATCAAAAAACACTTTCATTGTCTTAAAATATCCATTTATATTTATCTAATTATCCTAACGACTCCCATACACTTCTTTCAGAGATTCATTTGTTTCCAAACCCCTCCTTAGCGCGAATCTAATCTGTGCTGATTGGTTCGATGACCCAGTCTGTTGTGATTGGTCCCCACAGTTATGAAGTAGAAGAGAGTATGTGAGAGCCCAATGCAGGAATGCAATAAGCAATGCAGTTAAACACCAGCATATTACACTACTTTTAAAGCCAACCCCAAGTAATAACAACGACACACATTCAGTATTAATCCACACAGTGGCAAAAGTTGAACAATTTTGAAAACTGACCGCGCCCCACATGTGAGAAACAGTTCAGGATAGCAAAGACAAACAGCAGAGGATCCCGAGTTCAGTACTATTTCAACATGGTTTTGAACACAATATGTGAACAGCCCCATACAGATTTGACTTGAGAGATACAAAACAAGCACTGATCTATTATAAATATGTGATTACAAGCCATGCAGGGCGATTACAACTTACAACACACAATTTAACACATGTTATGTAAACTACACAAAATGAGGCAACAATTATAATTACACCTAAATGTTATGATCCGGAGGTAGAAGAAACTGGTCCATATGAACTGTAACAGCTACTGACAAAGTCCCTATCAAAGTCTGACAAAGTCCCATACATAATAGTGTTGTTGTGAAAATGAACTTCAACCCTTTATTCCCCGCAGCTGAATCTCCATCTGTCTGTGATGTCGATGATCGTCATCTTCGCATCATGCTAGTGTCTGAAGGGAAATGCGCGTTCCCATTTTACTGGAACCGGTACTACATATTTGGTAATGTACGGTATCGACATCGATGCGTTAAAGCAAAAAATCCGAACCCAACTCGATTCATTTATTCAACTCTGAGTTGACTATTTTGTTAAAGAATCAATAGTTTAAAACACGGTGCACTTTCAGATTTAAACCTGATGTTTTTATTCACTTAGTGTGCGGTGTTACACACTGCATAGAAGCTCATTTTCAAAAACCCATAATAGGGGCTCTTTAAGGTAAAACTCTGCTAATTGTGGCATTTCATTTCTTAAAACAAGACAACATGCTTTGCTTGGCTAGAAAAGGCTTTTTGATCTCAGAATTTTTAGATAATTAGACCAGAAACAAAGCAAAAAAAAGTCTAAGTAAGAAAATCATTTTTTAACAGTGTAATGGCGTATTACTTAAAGGGATAGTTCACCCCAAAAAAAAATATTTCAAGCCATCATTACTCATCCTTCACGTGTTCCAAACCTATTAGAGTTTCTTTCTTCTGTTGAACACAAAATATTTGTTTAATTATGGTTGCTGGCACCCATTGACTTCCATAGTATTTTTTTTCTACAATCAAAGTCATCATAGCCAGCAATTAGCATTAGCATAAAAATTCTTCCTTTTGGTTCAACAGACCAAAGAATCTCTTAAAAACTAAAACAAAGTGAGTAAATGAGGGGGCGTCACGGTGGCGCAGTGGGTAGCACAATCGCCACACAACAAAAGGTCCCTGGTTCGAGCCTCAGCAGGGTCATTTGGCATTTCTGTGTGGAGTTTGCATGTTCTTCACGTGTTTGCGTGGGTTTCCTCCGGGTGCTCTGGTTTTCCCATAAGTCCAAAGACATACGATATAGGTGAATTGGGTTGGCTAAATTGTCCTTAGTGTATGTGTGTGAATTAATGTGTATGGATGTTTCCCAGTGATGGGTTGCAGCTGAAAGGGCATTCACTGCATGAAACATATGCTGGATAAGTTGGCGGTTTATTCTGCTGTGGTGACCCCAGAGTAAATAAGGTAGCTTTCATTTTGGGGTAAACTATCCCTTTTAATATGGCTGTAATATGGCTTGAACATCCTAGCACATTTCTTTTGACCATCTATGCAAGATTCAAAATCAAATAGGTTTGAATGCCATGGCAAATGGTGACTTTTTCAAATTGGGTATGCAATTTTTTTAATTTATCTTGAAAAAACTTGTTTTGTGATATCAGCATTTATGTAAATCTCTGATCAAGTGTGAATCCTAATCATGATGAGTGGTTTAGTGAGGGTTGCTCTTCCCTCGGCTCTTTTTTCCTCGCCCCTCTTTCCATCATGATATCTGCTGTGTGCTAATAGCTGTCTGGTGTTGTTTTGCTGTTAATGCAAAGCCCCTTGATGGACCATAGACTATTCAAGCGGGTGAGTGCAGCCTCAGCGATTCAGTATGTCTCCCTTTTTTTCTGTCTTTCCTCCTCTTGCTCGTCTCACACACACAAAAGACCCCTTTCATCCCCCTTTTTGCCCTCCTCCATCACCGTTGCTTGATGCCTGCTTGCATGAGAGCTAGCAACTGGACGCACAGATGACTGAGATCAAGGCCCTCAGCGGATGTGGGTTGTGTCTTGCTCTACACTAACCACTGAGACGCTACATTAAACAAGCACCTTTTTCTCCTGTCTAGATTATTCGGCTTTCCTTAAGATAAAATAGACGGAAGAACTGAGGGTTGTTTGGTGTAAATGATGTGCATGATGATGATGATGATGGTGATGATGAGTCTTGCTCTTTTGATAATGAGGCATGCTGGGAAATACGTGACCCAGAGAAAAGTGGCTGCCTCTCTGGTTTGTGTGTTCTGACTAATTCAACTGAAGTTTGTTTTGTTGCATATGTTGCAGTGGGAACTGACTGCCTATCTGTTTTTAAATGTTTGGTTGTCGAGAACATATTTATGTGTGTACAAAAAGCAATTCATAGTCCTAAAAAAATAATAGTGTGAATAATAATGTGACTCCTGTATTCATTCAGACAATTCATGCAGATGTTTGAGCAAGAACAAGTAGACGGGATCATCTACAGGCAGCTTTAGTTTCTTGTTAAAGATGAGATGGTTTCAGACTGATTCTTTATTAAATGAAATGCAGACTATTTTAAGCTTTTTGTCCTATATATCTGCTTAGCTCAGAAACTTACAAGGTGAGGCTGTTGAGGAAAATGGGGCAAATCATCAGTGAATATCTGAGAGGAAGCTGCTGCCCAGAACACTGTTTCTTTTACACACATTATATTATTATAAAATTGATTTTATCATAGCACTACATTTAAAACATTTATTATGCAATTACTACATTTAATTATAATACTACTGTTGGAATATTTAATCAATTCCATTCATGCTCAATAAAAGAGGAGAGGTTTTTCTTTAATGTTTAACACATTAGCAATTTTTTGTATACAAATGAATGATTTGATTAAAAAAAATTCTGATATCCTCAATGCAATGCAAGAGTTACATTCAGGAGGTGTGCACAGTTTTCATTTCCTGACTTATATAGGCAGCTGATATTAACAGGTGGAGTTTAGTGAAATTCATCACTTGTCAATCATTCTCTTGTCCTCGATTGGCCGCACCCATACATACCTCCTCTTTTTCTATTAATTCTCTGCACAACATTAAAAGCACAAAACTTCTCAACTGCAAATTCTGTGCTCACAGGTAATTTCGCTGCAAAGCTCAATTTAATTTTAGACAAGCTTTATCTACTTCTGCAAAAATGCTTCATTAGTGTGCAAAACCTATCACACTCGAGAAGAAGTTTGGTTAATATATCACCTTTAAGCTATGCAAATACAATTGTTTAACGCAAAGAAAAAGACAAAAAAAAATTTTTTTAAATCCTTTGTAGTTTCTTTTTCCTAACACTACACTACATTTTAAACTCTGGGATTGGTTCAGGATTTGTTTTTAAAATCTTGTACCTGTATATTTTATTATTATATTTTTGTATATAATATAAAAGGGATAGCACAACAAAATATTAAACATTTTTCATTTAATCCACCCAAGATGAATGCACTTTTTTTTCTTCATAAGAAAATGTAAGAATTTATTAGCATGTTACAAATCACAAAAGACCGCAACTTCAGCTAAAAAAAAATCTTATACTGAAAAAAAGTCATGTAAAACCTAAAACATTTTGAACATGTTATACATTAAAAAAAACTCCAAAATGTTTATTGGTTTCCACAAAATCATTAGGCAGCAGATCTGTATCCAAGATTTATCAAATCTGCATATAAGTATAATCTCTGATGAATGATTTGACGATGAAAACTAGAGTAGTGGCTGCTTTACCTTATCAGAAATAAATCACCTGCTTTGAATGTTATCACTCGATTGAATGGCCGTTATCAGTGGATATCAGATGATAAATATAGCCCAGTAGGAGCCTTCTGCACCTACTGGTAGGCTCAGAAGGCTGTTATCATCCATGCACATGGTTAATCAGCTATACCAATAGAGAAGACTCCAGATCTGTTTTTACATTACTGTGATGGTTGGGTTTAGGGTTGGGGTAGGGGTAGATGTTGATAAAATACAATTAATGGGAAATTGAATAAATAATATAAATAGTTTTCGTTAACTTCCGGTCGCAGCCATATGTAATCTATAGCTGATTAACCATGTGGATGAATGATAAAAGCCTTCTGAGCCTACAAGTAGGCTCAGAAGCCCCCTACCTTGGTCATATCTATCAGCTGATAACCACTGATAACGCCTATTCAATCGATTGATTATATTTGAAGCGGCCGAATAAATACATCTACTGTAAACACATTTTAGTATGAGAACAGGGATTTTGCATTGTAATAATATAATGATAACATGATTTTTACAGTCTTAATGAGCTTAGAAAACTTGCAAAGACATGCTAAAATTGGTTGTATTTATATTTTTTGCGTCTGTACTTGTACTACGAATGTGCTGGGTTATATAAGTTAATTAATGTAATGTGTTTTAATAGCACATTTATTGGGTATGGCCATATACTGCTCACTCAAAGCATTTTAAAATCATGTGAGGGGTCTCTCCACATCACACCACACCACACACAAGGTAACTACAAAGCATAAGGTTAAGTTTAGAGATAGAACCTTCGTATTACCCAGTTTAATAAGCACATAATACTTACACGCAAAACAGAACTATAACAAAGTGCTGCCAATAATATTTGATTTCATCTACTCACACTGTTGTTCCAAAGCTGACTTTTTTTTCTGTAGAGAACAAAAGTAGATGTTTAGAAGAATGTCCAAGCTGTGTTATTTCCCTACAACACATTATAAGAAGGCACAGCCATCCTTATTCATTTTGCTAAATATCTGCTTTTGCATTCCACACCTAAAAAAAGAAACGGTCCCGTTAACCAGGGCTTGTTCTGACCTTCTCTGCTCTGTGAAATAAATGCTCAAATGTCTTGAGATGCGAGATGTTTGACCCGTGTCTCTAATGTGTGTCTTGTTTTTCAGAGTGAGAGAATTGAGAAAGGCCAGGGAACATGAGAGCGTCCAGAAGAGCTCCCTCACAATGTGACATTACTCTCCAGACTCTTCCTTTCAGTTTTTCGGTTTCAACCAGAGACGTTTTACAAGAGGAAAAAAAAAATACAAAAATAGCAAGAACACTGCAACTCTTACTACTACTGTATGACTGATACTTCGGCTACTAAACAACTGCATTTTTTCATATCTCTTTATTCCTTCTATTTTTCTTTTACGAAGGAATGAGCCTATTGCTGTGGATCAAAATAAACTCAAAGGACGTTGTTTTAGAAGAAACAACATTCGCTTCGTGGCATTTTTTGCACTTTTTAAAGGATTGTTTTTGTCATTTTTGGATGAGCATTTAAATGTTTCATTTGAAAAAGGGAAAAAAATGGAAGAAGGGAAGCCCAGCTCTTCAGTGGCTTGTTGAAAGAGGATAAATGAAGATAGAAAGATGGTGACAAAATATATGGAGTCAACACAGAAACATGGCCGGACCTGTTCCGAGTGTTTTCAAAAGATGACAAGATGTGTTTAGTGGTTAAAATTATCAAAAAAAAGAAAAGATAAGATGAATAATTGATGAAGTGTTTTTTGTACACGCTTTTCTCCACAGCCAGAGCAATTGATCAGAAACTTCCAATCTGTCCATTAAGGATTGTCCGTCTTCTCTTAGCCACAAGGAGAGACTGGCTTGCAAATGAATGTAAAAGGTAAACAAGCAGGCTTGGGTGACCTGTCAAATGCTGAAATTATTTTGCTAACAAGACGTGTGGATAACACAGCTATACGACAACTATTTTCAAATTGATGATATTCAGCCACTAGAAACAATTCCAAGTTAGCAAGACATCGCTCTAGGCAGATCTTGTCTTACGCATGCTTGAAACTAGGCCACTTTTGTTTTTTAACTCCATGAATGTACTGGAGACACCAAACGCCATCACCTCTGCCCGTTCTTTACTATTGGCACGTTTGTAATTCTTTCTGTTGTCAATCCAATGTTAAATAGTCATCGGTAAAGCCTTTATTTGCCTAAATAATGAGGTTTTCTAAGGGAAAGTTGCATACATTGCCTTGATATCTTTGACACCGTTTGAAAGGTCTCCACACTCGGGGTTAGACAAATCCATATTTTTGACAACTGAGCGGTTCCTGTATATAAAGAGGGTTGCCGGTACGTAAAGTAACACATTTATCTAAGCGGGATTGTATTTTAGAAATATATTATTTTACTCATTGAAAGGGATCAAAACAGATTAGCGGCGAAACCTGAATATTTGTATAGTTTTGTTTGAATGCCTAAGAAGTATGGTTGTATCGTTTGTACATAATGTAAATACCTGGGATAAAGTCAAGCTACTGTATGTGCATGACAAAAACGAAGATACAAAAAAAAAAAAAGAGTTCAAAAGCATTAGTGGCTATGCTCTGTAAAACTATTTCACTATAAGAGTATTTTATTTTACTTTAAATGTTCTTGAGAAGAACATTTTGCTAAAGCATGACCTTCCTGCGATTATGAAATACTGTATTTATGAGATAGGAGAAAAAGGCAAAATGATCATTAGGTTATGTTTACATCTGTTTGTTTCCTTTGTTTTTCGGGGCTACCAAGAATCTTTTTGCCAACGGTGCCAAGTAATGTGAATGCTACTGCTTAAAGGAAGTTATTCATTGCTGAACAGATAATCACATGGTAAAACGTGACTCACTTGCATAACCGTTGAACGCAGCCGGTCAAGAAGAAAGGTGTATTTCACATATCGTGTTTGGTTTATTTGTATATTTGTTAGTTTCGTGCTTCATAAGCCCAAATACTTTTGTATTTTTTTGTCAGTGAAATGATATACAAATGTTTTCCTGTGATGAATGCAGAAGTAATGGACCTTACAGCAGCTTTAAGTAAGTCTACTTCAGCGAGGCGTGCAAAAAAAACACCCTGTGAGTTGAACGTGACGCTGAAATAACCACGTGCACAGAAAGATTACAGTAGGCTCCCTGTTATGCATGTAAATGCTATTCTTTTGGTGCTAAAACATTGGCGTCATACCTCCAAAGATCAATCTGTTTTAATGGGGCCGCGGTACTTTTAATAGCAGGTGTCGTCGTGGCTCTGGAAAAAGGAGAAAGTATTCCTGAAAGTGATGCACTAGAAATGTGTGTATTTCAGTTTCCCCTCATGTCGAAATGCTTCTTTTGTATTTGAGTCAATAGATTGTCACCTAAATGTTCTCTTGTGTTGGAAGTGCCTGATCGTATTCTAAATCCAGCGAGCCGTGTCAGTCTGCATGTGAGCTTTGCAAGAGACTGGCATTAGTGAGAAGTGAATTACAGTCTGCGTTTTGTTTGGTTCTTTTCCGTTTGGTACTTGTTTCTTTGTCCTTGCATTTTACCACACCAGGATTTTATGGCTTCGTCATAACTCACGTCCTCTATTGGAACTGCCAGATGAACCCGCGAGGACTGCAGATTTCAGTCCGGCTGGTTCTTGCCTTGCATTCATCATTCCGGTAGCAGTTTAGGTTGTCAGCTGATGCACTGAAGTGGCAACTCGAGTCTTATTATGCTTGCATGGGTAACATAGATAACCGGGTGGCTGAAACAGCACCCAAAGCATGCTTATTTTTGTAGATTTGGTAGTCAGGTAGACTTGTTGAAGAAATATTGTTCTGTAAAGCAGCTGGTTTCATGGGTTGCAGACATTTCACCAGAGAGAGGGCTTTGAAACGTAACTTTACAGTACAAGAAATCAAAACATTTACCCCTGCAGTGAGACCACATGTTAAAATCACAAGTGAAATGTTTGATTTTGTAATATTTTATCGTGGGGGGAAAAAGCGAGGTCACATGTTCCAAAATTTCCATTTCACGTGTGATCTCACACTCATGTGGTTTTTCTGTAGGGCTACAGGGGCAGCATGAATATATTTTTTTCCAAATAGAATTTGGCTTTCTCTTTCGTTTTGGAATTGAGTTTCACTTCACTTTCCATTCCCATTCCTTCACAACTCCTCCACCGCAGAAACAGGTAAAAACAAACTTGCGTACCTCATAAGAAAAGACGCGCCTCAGAACTGTGTCCATATCTATCCACGTTAAAGTGTCCATGGCACTAGTGCAGTTGAAACCTCGGGTGTGAATCCGTCGGGTTCACTTTTGTATCTTAACTCAGGTGCCAAACTGGAGAAAAGGGGAAGAAGTAGAGCAGGTCACTTGAGATTTAGTTGCTGCTTATTGGGAAATGAGCCAGACTGTCCTGATCAAATTACTGTGATTCTGAACATGTCATGCTGTTCGCCTTTTTTTAAATCAACTATGTGAGCTGAGTTGGCGTACCTTCGCTCCCCATTTGTTGAAAGAGCGGCACTCACTGCTGCTGTTGTATAAGAGCCCGATGGAATGCAGCAGGTCTACACGAATGCTAGTGTAAATACGCATGGATGTGTTTTAGTTCAGCGCAGCTTCTCCGGTTCCTATAGTCACTGCCGTGGACATACTGTATCACAATAAAGAATCAAAAGTGCTGCTCAGATTGATTCATTTTCACCGTCATCATATAGCCATAGATGTAGACGTTCAACAGGACAGCCGTAGTTTATTAGCGCAAGACGGTAACCTCACCTGGTTGCATACGGGTTCATTTTAATGGTATCGCAGCTCAGCCCACAGAAGATACCTCATCCACTTTTGTTTGTCACGTCACCAAGAGACAGAGACTGCCTTTCCGTGCGCATCCGTTCTTTAGAAAAGGGCAGAACAGGGCCCTAGAAAACACCCACCACCACCACTCATGGACACAGAGCAATAAGCAATTCCTGAAGTGGAGACCTGTGTAGACCTAATGGGGACAGCGATCTGTTGGACACACGTAGCTGACTTACTCTTATGCAAATGCCAGTATTGTGAGATTAGAATGCAGTAGTTTAAGGACAGTGCTTATACGACACCCTTCATTGAGCTGCACGTTTTCATCCCTTTCAAACCCAGAAAATAGCGGCCCTGTCTTTATTACAAGCTACACTTGGGGCTCTCTACACTTTGCATGTTAAACTAGTGTTAGATCTACTTTCCTCTCCTCTCTAGCTGTCTTTTCTCTGTGTCTTTCCCAATTATGTAGCCCTTTCCTTTCCTACTAAACCCTGATTTTTTTTTTTTTTTGTTTCTTCTTTTTTCTAAATGTCTCTGTTTTTCCTCCTTCCCCCTGGTTTGAGCAATTTATTTTTGTAACTGCATGTTAAAGAGTCACTGAATCGATGGATATGTTAAAAAAGAGAATTCAGCTGCTGAAGCCATGCAAAATGTTTTGAATTGCCCTTAAAAATATGAAAGATGTTTTCTGAATGCTTTATATTCTCTCTGCTGTAAAATAATAAAAGGGGAAAAACTTAAGAAACGCTTGTCTTTACTTGAAGTTTGAATGTTTTTTAAAGATTATCTAAACTAATGGTATTTAAATTATTTTGCCACCCAAAATGTACACAAATGAAGACATTTTAATGAAATCTCAGATTACGACGTTTTACGTTTCTTCACACTTCAGAGATATTAAAAAAATGCATGTGAAACTCAAGTGATTGAATCTAAAGTTGAGTCCCAAATAACACACAATTCATTAAGCACTTACACACCTATTTACACTCAGCTATCTAGAATAGAAACTTACTTTAAGGTTATTTTGTCACTGCTGCATAAATCTGAAAGCCCAACCCTCCTCCATGGGATTAAATGTCCAACATTCTACTTTATGCACTATTTAGTATGTAAATAGTACATAATAAAATTGTTTTGCAAAATGGAAAACACCTCAAGTCTTATAAAAAGAGCTATTAAGTTTTTCATTTACATATACTGTACACTTATCAATGACCATAAACTGATATTCACTAATACCTGTTTGATGCATAAGAGGCTAAGAGTCAACTCTAGTAGAAGCTCTGTGATTCTCACACAACAAGCAAACATGTTTGAGTTTTGTCCAAATATGAATGTTGCATTTCAACATTCATAGAGGTATAGCATTGCTTGCATGACTGAAATAGCAGGCCATGATGTTTTAAAAAATAGTAGCAAAACTAAATGACACAAAACTTGGGCAAGAAGTCAAATATAGTATTTGGCCCAAGCTTGGTATGTGGGCCACATAAGTTTGGCCTTTCTTGACCCACATTTAAAAGACATTTAAATTATTTTTGAGTAAAGAAAAAAAAATTCTACCAATCAGGTTGCCTCAAGATAAATATTATCAATTTCATTGCAGTCATGACACACCAACATATCTGGCTCAGTTCAGACTCAGTTATGGATTTTAACTTGGCTGAGACTTGAACCAGTTATGGTCCATGATTAGCCATTTTCTGGAAGCCAGACTTGGTCCTCTGGGCCAATCAAAAAGTGATTGTGGGCCAGAGAGATATTGCTACAGTATGTGGGTATAGAACCAGCAAATAAGTTAGTTCTACAAATACCACCAACTATAAGCCATTTAAACCACAATGTTTTAAAGCTTTCTATTGTGTTTTGGTTTTAACATTAACCCACTGCATGGAAGCTAACAGTTAGCCTAAAGTTAAGCAAATCCCAATAACAGTTTTTATAAAGTAATTATTTTTTCTCAATTTAATATCCTGCAATTTTGAATTAATACATTAATGCAACATGTTGGTATTGTTGATAAATGATAAGGAAGCATTTTGTTCAATGTTTTTTTTTTTTACAACCATTAGAAACATCCAATATGAAAGCATAAATCCAAGGTTATCATTTTTAAAAGTACTTTTTATAGCCTAAGTAGGCAATTTAACAGCTTAAGGCATAAATGTGTGCAGTTTACCTTTGCAAAGAGTCCAAGCTGGCCAAGGTTTGTTTTCCACAGGCCATTTTAATCAACAACTGAAACCGTTTCATAAAAACTGGCGGGAAAACCTCGAGGAAATCAACGGTTTCTCTTTGGTGATTTGACCACACGTCTCTCTTTATAGCTATGTGAATAAACGCTTAAATCAAATTTAACGATGTATGGTAGTCTTGTAAATCGATCCCGTCTATCTAGAATATTTGGAAACCGGTATTTATTCATTTTTTTTTTTTAATTTTTGATCTCTTAATTAACTTTTTGAGCGTCAGGCCTTGGGGTGAATAGGCATTTAATGGAAGGTCTATCATATTTCTATAAAATACCTACCTTGTGAGAAAAGATGAATGAAAGTAGAGCTTTTGGCGACTTACGGGTGAGTAAATCACCTTTTAAATTTTTAGAATAAACCGAACCTTTGGTTCAATTGCGTCATCTTCTGGTCACTGCAACACACTGCATCCTGTCATAGATTACTGTTTGAATTCCATAAGGAGAAGTAAATGTTGATTAAATTGAAACATTTTATTATTCCTGGTTGTCCTTGGACTTCTATTCGGAGTGAGTCATTAAACTTATGGTCAGTTAGGTTGTTCAGGAAAGGTTTTTGTTTGATAGCCTGTAATAATAGTTGATGATGACGGTAAATGACTGCAGTGTGTGCGTTTGTGTTGGTGCTGAAGAGGCATGTTTTCTGTATTATTAAGGCCAGAGGAGGGGGCAGTGATGGGGTCAGTTCCTGGCAGGGTTTATGGACCAGGTAACACAAGGTTATTGCTCAGGCTCCTCTGAGGATATAAATTGTGGAGAAGACTCTTTAAGCTCAGTGTAACGCAGTGTTCTGCACAACCAGATCCACCTGGGAATCGCTGGAAGCTGCGCAGGTAAAGAACATAGTCTTTGTCTTTTAAAATATTTATAAACATTTCGCTTTTGTTTTATTACTGTGCTAATTACTATGTCAGAATGTATTCAGTGCTCAGCATAATTGAGTACACCCTATTTTGAAAATGAATATTTTTATCAATTTCTCAGTGAATACAGGCAATGCATACTGGTGCATTTAAACAAAACAGATTTATTAAACAGATATATTTATTAAAATAATATTTTAGTCAGCAAACATATTTAGAAATTAAAAGATGATACAATTAAATTCAAGCAAAATATTGGGGAAAAAATGACAACCTACTAAGTTGAATTTATTTCAACAAATGTTTTCATAATTTTTGCTTCTCTTTGATTTTTACTTTTTTATTTGTATTTAATATTTTTCTATAACATATAAATTTGGGTGTACTAGTTTTTGGAGCCTTATTGTAAGTTATTTTGTTAGATAAGCTTCAGATTTGGCTTCAGTACTAAGTAATCTAATGTATATGCACAAATATAATATTGTTTAGCTTCCTATTAAAATGAGAGATTTGTGAGGGGTGTACTTATATATGATGAGCACTGTACAGCGAGAGAGAGATTTTCAGTTTATTATGGAAGTACATAGCATATTATAAATATATATATGTATATATATATATGTGTGTGTGTGTGTGTGTGTGTGTGTGTGTGTGTGTGTGTGTGTGTGTGTGTGTGTGTGTGTGTGTGTGTGTGTGTGTGTGTGTGTGTTTATATAAATGTACATTAAATGTCCACTTTTTATACAAATTTTCTTGTTAATATATACAACAAATTATTGTTTATAGTGGCTCAATGGTTATTAATTGTATAAAACCAGTTGTTTTAATTATTTTATTCTATTGCATTAGTTTTTCTGATATAATATATATTTATCATTGTTTTTTATTATTGTTTTAAAACTAGTTCATTGACTTTCCTTTTTTATTATGTACAGTTGAAGTGAGAATTATTTGCCCCCTTTCCATTTTTTTCCCTTTTTTAAATATTTCCCAAATAATGTTAAACAGAGCAAAGAAATTTTCACAGTATGTCATAATATTTTTTCCTTTAGAAAAAAATCATATTTGTTTTATTTCGGCTAGAATAAAAGCAGTTTTTAATTTTTTCAACCCGTTTTAAGGTAAAAATTATTAGTCCCTTTAAGCTATGTATTTTTCGATAGTCTACAGAACAAACCATCGTTATACAATAACTTGCCTAATTACCCCAACCTGCCTAGTTAACCTAATTAACCTAGTTAAGCCTTTAAATGTCATTTTAAGCTGTATAGAAGTGTCTTGAAAAATACCTAGTAAAATATTATTGACTGTCATCATAGCAAAGATAAAATAAATAATCCAGGGGGGCTAATAATTTTGACTTCAACTGTAATTCTTTACATTTAATTAATATAAGGATATTTTTGAGACCTTATTTTCCTCCTAATTTGTGCCTAACTGTGAGTGTGTGCTGTTTTCCAGATATGATGAAGGGTTTATTGAGCGTGTCTGTCAGTCTGTTGCTGCTGTGTGTGTTGTGGACAGACAGTCAGCCTGTAGACACTGCTGACACTGTCAGAGAGGTGAAGACACTTCTCTATTGATTTCTCAAGTATTGCCATTCAGTCATAAAGATAAGGAACTGCCTATTCATCCGGTTTTGTTTATGGCCTGTTCATGGAGTATTGGACTACCTTTAATAGTCGTTGTGTGTGTGTGTGTGTGTGTGTGTGTGTGTGTGTGTGTGTGTGTGTGTGTGTGTGTGTGTGTGTGTGTGTGTGTGTGTGTGTGTGTGTGTGTGTGTGTGTGTGTGTGTGTGTGCGTGCGTGTGTGTGTGCGTGCGTGTGTGTGTGTGTGTGCCTGCCTGCATGCTTATGTGTTAGATGCTAGATCTCCTCAGAGCAATGTCTACAGTGAATGGACAGGAGGACACAGAGCTGGACACAGGTTCTCCTGCTGTCTTGTGGTCTGATACTGCAGATCTGGAGAAGAGAGACTTGCCACGTCTAGGAGTATCAGTACATAGAGCTTTACCTTTAAGAGTCCACAGCAGGTAAACAACCACTCATCTGCTCTTCTTATGCAGTATACACATACTGTAATACAACAGCAGCATGCTTTTTAAAAGGCACTATTGGCTGTTATGCTTTAAATTGTTAAAAATGAAGGTTACAGAAATATAGTAATAGTTCCTAGAACTATTAGTGACTATTAGAACTATTAGAATAACTGTAAGTTATTCAGTTATTTCAGTCCCAAAAAACAGCATTAAGGGAGCTAAATAACTCCTACTACTTTAGAGCAGGGTCTGATCCAGTACAATAGGAACTACAGTAATATAAATATGCCTTGTTTACATCATTTACGAAGTTACAAGACTTACAGGTACTATTAACATTCATAAAGGAATTCACTTATTGCCTTCATATTCAGTATTTTTTATTTTAAAAAACATAACTAATAATGAAAACACGATCGCATCCTACATTCTTTGCCTGTGGAATTTGTTGAATGAAGCACTTGATTACACTTACATTATATGAATCCAACTAGGACAATTATAACTAGTTCCTATTACTGGGTTCCTGTAACTAGTACGAAATTACTTAAAAAGATCAATATTTTTATTTATATGTTTTTTTAATTAACATTGCTTTTGTTTGTGTGACAAAATTGTTAGTTTTTTTATAATAATAAGTTATAATAGTATTTTTATAATAATTTGTAATAATCTATGTAACATTTTTGCTCTATAAAAAAAACTTTTGTGGAATAGAAATGTTTCATACTGTATATGTTTAGACCAAATGTGCACCAATGTTCAGGTTATAGTGAAGCAATCACAGAATGCTTTTCATTTAACTATGCTAAACCAAGTGAACATACCCTTAGAGTATACATAATGTGCCGTACCTGACCAAAATAATGTTTGTTTTTAAAACTAAGAGATTTATATGACAATGCTAATGGTACTTTTTACTTTATTTCTGTGTTCAGTAAATCTGTAGATGGATCTAGATACCGTCTGTCATCCCCATCTAAGTGGATGTCCAGCCTCCGAGGTTGAAGAGTAGTCATCATTTGAGTATCCATCTCACAATATTTGAATGAACTCAAAGCTACTGCATAGGGTTTACACTCTCCTGCATGCTCTCTGCTTAACAAATAAAATAAACATAGCTAGTATATATATATATATATATATATATATATATATAAATATATATATATATATATATATAAACCGGGGAAGTCAGTTTGGAATAGGAATAACTTCATGAACTCTAGAAATTTTTATTATTGTTTTATTTTGGCATTTATTTAGAGTTTCACGCTTTATAACACACGGCTGTTGCTCTCTTCTGTAAAGATAGTATTGGCAATGAAGTATTTCAATATTGGATCTCAGTAAAAATGCATAGATGCATTAAAAGCTAGATGTGTGTAGAAAAAGAAATGGGCAGATATTTTACATTACATTACAAGTTTTTGCATGTGTCTGTAACTTTGTCTTGTACATTTTGCATTTGTGTTGTTGTATAATTGTGAGTCCAGAGTGGTTGGAAAGTCTATAAAAGCCCTGTGACTGCGTGGAGTGTGTGGTGAATGTCTCAAACACAGTATTTCCAGAAACAGTCTGCACCGCCACCTCTCTTTCTGAACTGCCTTCTGCTCCCCAAAAGACCACTGGGAGGAACCAGGCGATATGGCTTTTCCAGCAGAAACTGAAGAGAAACAGGCTGTTGGTCACATGTAAAGAGTATTTTACGAAGATAATTCTCATGAGCACCTCAGTGGGCACTTGTCAAAACAACTTGTCAAAAACAACATCAGAAAATATGTCAAAAGAAAAAAAATAATAATAAACAATCATCAAAAATGCCAATCGATTGGATGTCAGTTGACTAAATTGATGTCAAAACAGACATCAAATTGACATCTAACACTGCTATAAAAAAATAACGCCTTGTTCTGTTTAGGTGTTTTGTTTTTTTTACCCCAATTTTAGATGCCAATTTGAATTCTACTTTAACATCAAGAGTTTACATGCATATGGATAGTGTCAATTTGTAATTTGCAACTTAAGCTATCAATAAAAAAAATCTTCTATTATAATACTATTCCTACTATTATAAAATGTATAAAATACTACTACTACTATTAATATATTATAAAATGTCGATGTCATATGGACGTCAAGGTTTTGACATCAAATCGATTTGCACTTTTAACTTTGTTTTTTATGTCGTTTTGACATCAAGCTGTCCGCTGTGACAGCTTTATTTACCTCTTTAAGAGCGTCTTTAGAAATCTGCCCAGACATTTTGATACCTGTGAAAGAAACATTATGAGTATTAAAAGTGAAAGCGTGTGTGTTTGTGTATGTGTGTGTCAGATGGAATCTCACTGTCTCTGTTGAGCAGTGGTGAATGTGCTGCGGCTGCTGCCCTCTGCAGGACATCAGTGAGGTCAGATACAGAGAAATCATCTATACTGACACCTCCGGCCTCTTCCACTGAATCTACAACACCAATCACACACATTTCATCAGTGTTTGGGCAACTCATTATTAGTAACGCGAGTTATGTAATAATATTACTTTTCTAAGTTATGAGTAAAGTTACACATTACTTTAAAAAGTAATATTTGAGTTACTTTTTAAAAAATAATTTAACTCCAGTTACTTTTTAAAGTAATTATTACGCTTTTATAAATAGCTTGCTGAATTAAAATGTGTGTAATCGCGTTGAATTACACTGCGAAAATGAGCATGTACAGCATCAGGAAGTTCTCAGAAGATAACATTGTTATAATTTTTTAAAGGTAAATATAGGTGTAGGTTATACAGTGTAATTAAATGCAAATGTCTTCTAAGAATACCCTGTAAGTAAAAGAGATCAAGCCTCAGTCAGGTCAGAAAAAGTAACTCAAACTCAACTCAAAAGTAACGTAACTTACTTTTTTAAGTACGCATTACTTTACATAAAAAGTAATTACCATACCTACTTACATTTTTTAAGGTGTAACTTAATATTGTAATGAATTACTTTCAAAAGTAACTTTCCCTACACTGTAATCCCGAATAAGTTGACAAAACTCAAAAAATTTGAGGTAATCAGTTACGTCAAATTGTTTAAGTTATGAAATTATCTATTTTAAGTAAACAGAAACATTAAGTTTTGAGTTTGTTGTACTCATGCAAGACACTTCACCTAACTTAAAATACCCAAGTTACTCAGCTTATACGTTTTAATTGCAATTAACTTAATTGTTTTAATTTTTCCAAACTTTAAATACTTAGTCACCCAGCTCATACATTTTAATACCAATTAACTTAATTGCTTTAATTTCTTTCAACTTCAAATACTTAAATCACCCAGCTCATACATTTTATAGCAATTAACTTATTTTTAATTAATCTCACCTTTACATACTTAGTCACCCAGCTCATACATTTTGATAGCATTTTTTAAAATTAACTTCTCCATCTTCAGTTTCACAAATGAAATTAGCCATTATTTTAATCTTTAAACCCCATAAATCTATCAAAATAAATCTGTAATTTAAAACACACAGACAATACCATTTTAGACATTTATTTTTAAAGAAAAAATGTCCAACAGTACTTTTAAATTTGTCTCCTATGCAATTACAAATGTCTTAAAACAATAAAAACAATTAGACATAAAGAGATTGAAAATAAACACTATTCTGAAATTAATAAAAATTACCCACAATGTAAATATGATATCAGACATAAGAGCTTCAAGAAAAAAACAACTATAAGTTTGATCAAATTTAATAATACATTAATAAGTACAAAACTTTAATAAAATGCACCCTTACCAATTAAAGGTAAATATATGTTTTGAAGTTACTACCCCAGAGACAGTCTTTATTAAGTAAAAAAAAAAGCTCTACATCAACTCATTCTTTAAGGTTTCCATGGTAGGAGACCTTTTATTTTCCATCATCCATGCCAAGCAAAACTTTTTGCACAAGTTTAAAGTCCAAAATCCATACAAGACAAGAAAGGTCTGGAAGTGTGCTGTGGGTAGTGTCCAATTCATTCTTTAGGACAACAGAGACCCTCAGTGAATGCAGGGCCAATAAAGCATCTTCAGTCAGCACTTCAGGATTATCGATCTAAAAATATAATTCAAGGATATTAATGTTAGGACAGTATCAAAATGACTGAGCCAATATTATATGATTCATCAACTATTCGTGATTACAAATATGTTATTAAGTAAAAGTTGCTTCTCAACTTTCATCTTTTTAATAGAACATGCCTAATTGTGAAAAGAATGAAGTCTTACCAGGGTGTTTCTAAAGAATCCCAAGTCACGCTCACGCAGCAAGACCAAAAGACCTCTGATAACAGTAGTCCGTCATGAACTGACATCATGCAGTTCCTGGTAAGATAAAAATCAAGAATCAATTTTTTAAAAATTAAAAAAAAATTACAAATTTCAAATGATATTTGTATGTATACTTTAACACGTGACCCCAAACATACCTGCTCATCATAAACCTTCAAAAGATTAGCCAAGGTATCTGCTGTCTTGCCAGTTTTGGATGCTGTTGCCTTAAATTGTCATCAAATGAAATAGGTGGTGGTCCAGTTGTGCAAAGAATTTGTGGGGAAAATTCTCATTTGTAACATGTAGGTACTCTGCAAACAGCAAAAAAAAACAAGAGAGAATTTCATAAAACAAACCCACACCACAAAATATACAATGCAAGAAAAATGTATTAATATTATTATTATGTTTCATATACTTATTTTTATTTATTTTTTTTACCTCAGATGAAAATCAGGTGTTGATCAGATGTTGAAATCAGGATCTTCATGTTGTAAACTGAACTCAAGGTCTAGCTGAAGTTTCACTTTCCTTGCTGCAAAAGTATCATTGCAAAATACACTGTCATATTTATTTTATCTGGATATGCCAGGCATAGTATTTCAAAATAAATATTTTACCCACCTTTTACATGCCTCCATTTAAGAACCTTTCTGTAGTCAGCAACAACCGACCTTCAATTCTGTATGTACACAAAGTCACAGTGTCATTTAGCTGAGAGTGAAAGTAGTAAATTGCATGATGTCTAACGTTAACCTCTAAAACGGTTAGCAATAGAGCTGATCATCATGTTAGTTGCTTTGATTCGATGAACACAGATTTAATTTAAACAGTATTGAAATTTCTAAAACTGAATAGGACGACAAAGAAATTTAAGGCCTGATTTTAAAAGCTAGAAATAACAAAAGTTACCTTATTGTTTAATGATGTAAAAATATATAGACTAAAATATTTATATTTTTAGATATAAATATATTTTAAGCTACAAAATTTGCACATCAGAAAACTATGTCTTGTTTACCACGTCTTGAATATTTTGTTTTGTTATTATTTTATTTAATAATATAATTTTGTATTACTGTGTTATAGATATGCGTACTTTGTTTTTTAGGCTGTTTATATTCTCTCCAGAGTAAACATTTTAAAAAATAGATTGAAACCTTATCATACCTTTAACATACAATTGACCTAATTGACATTTAAACTCATTTAACTGATCGCATTAATCAGGTAATCATTGATATGCAGAGATGTCGTCTTAAGCGCGAGGAAATATTAAGTGTTGATCAGTGCTGGTGATTGAGGTAAAGGTAGTTTTATATTTACACATTCAGACTTTCTCCTTAATAATATAATTTCAGAAAATTTGTTTTTGTATATTCTTAATAGTGAAATCATATTTGAATTTCAAAGTACAACATTGATCTGTCAAAAAAAAAATAGTGCATTTAGTGTAATGTTGTTTTCATGTCATACTTGCATGTGATTTCAGAACGAATACACAAAGTACCATGGTAAACAATATATGGAGCGAGTCACAAGTTGTTACTAAATGAATGTATGAATATAAATCCGACTTTACCTCAATGTGGTAGTGTGAAATTAAGTTCTGCTCTGTACATGCTCAGGTGAGGAGCGCAGCTTAAATGTTCTCCGTCAGGCTCTCCCCATGCATGGATCAGCAAGCAACAAGCTGCGTGTGACAGAGAGTTACGTTTTTGCGCGTCATCAGAAAATACCGTTTAGTAATTAGGCGGAGATCATTTGAGTTATGATTAACGTTACGTTTCTTGCGCCTTTCATTTCCGAAGTGCCTACAGATCGCGAAGATAATACCACATTCATAGACTGGATGGAGTTCAGCGCAGCGCCATGACATGCGGTTGTGAGTGCGCGCGTTTCCATGACAACTTAAGCACAGGCTGAGAAAAGGCATACTCGCGCCAAGATTTAAAAATTTTTGAAAAATGTAATCTGCCGATTTCAAATATTTTTGTCTTTATCACACTCTGTTAAAATTCAGACTTAACACATTACAACTAACGCTAACATTGCACTGATTCAAACTTTTTAAACAGTAATGTTAACGTTAGTTAGCAACAAGTGAGGCTAAACATGTTTTCTGTAATGTACGACATGTAAACGCACCCTGACCAACTCAACATTGCATTGAACTGTTACTGTGATTATATTGATTAAAACATAAATTTAATATTTATTGGATTTGTAAATATTTTACTTACTGTAGTGTGAAGCGAGGCCGATCCGCCATCTTGAAAAAAACGAATGAAGCATGAGCACGTACGTGAACCTGGATGACGTCAGACGCAAAAATCACTGGGCTGACAGATTTTGAGTTAATGAAACTTTAAAGAGACATTTTGTATAAATTAAACCCAGCAGAATTGTTCACCTTACTTGAAAGATTAAATTTTTTCAAACTCAAAAATAAGAAAAAGTTCTAAATACTCATCAAGGTTAATTAAGATAAACGAATTTTAATGATTTAAGTTAATAGAACTCAATTCAATTAATTAGTTACAGCATTGGGGTTTACAGTGTAACACTCCATTTCATCATTACAAAATTAACTATTCATAATCATTTACTACACTGTCCTCATTCATTGTTTTAATTTGTGCACTGAAACAATCTTGTCTGCTTGTCGAATAGTAGTAGACTATGTCTATGCTGAATATACATCAAGTCTGGTAATGTCACAAACAGTGAACAAAAGCAATGTAAGATGCAAGTAATAAAGTTCACCAATACAATCATTCACATTTAACTTTAAAATAATATTTATAAAATTATTTATTAGATCCAATTGAACTGTAATGCCATAAACTTTGGCATTTTAGTCTTATATGTGATGGTAAAATATTTAATTTATATAATGCATTCGATAATATTAGATTGCATATTAAATATATTATTATTATTATTATATAGTTATAAACATATAGAGAAACAATGCAATTATAATATGGAGATGTTCCTGTTGATTTAGAAAAAGAGTCATATAATAATAAGAAATGAATTGTATTATTATTTGACATAATTGAGCACCGTATACTTTAGCTCAGCATAAATGAGGATACCTTACAAATCTTGCTTTTTACTAAATATTTTGTATTGGATGCTTTATAATATACATTAGATTAGTCAGTACCAAAGCCAAAACTGAAAATGATATAACAAAAATTTTAAAAGGATCACGGCCCAAAAATGTGTACACCCAAATTAACATGTTGGTGGAAATATAGTCATTATTTATTAATATTAATAATAAATAATATTTTATAGTAATAAATAAAAAATAAAATATAATTTCATATTTAAATGTATAATATTCTGATATATTTATCCAATTTACTACTCCTAATTTTATTATTATTATTATTATTATTATTATTATTATTATTATTATTATTATTATTATTATTATTATTTTAAATATGTAAACATGTAACAACATTAATCTAAATATATTTAAATATAAGTGTATATTAAAATATATTCTGGTTTGCTGAATTGACCTTTAATGCCCATGAAAAAAAAAAATACATTAGTTAAAACATACACCATATAGGGGGAAAGAAGAAAAGCATAACCCTAACCCTGACAAATCTTCTGCTTGATTGTGTGTGCGAGCACTCACCCGGGCCAATGTTGGTCATTTTAGCAGTGTCTGTAACGGGATGAGCAGAAAGGAGACTGCAGGACAGCAGGAGCACAGAGCAGAACACAAACAGCTTACAGATCATCTCTACAGCGGCTCCAGCTCCTGTCAGGTCAATCAGCTCCACAGACACTCTCTCATCTTATATACCCCACACTACCAATCATACCGAATGCCACGTTTTTATTGAACGTCTTATTTTCACATTTAGATCCCATTGCATTAATGCATCCATGAATAAATCGGGATCGCAGTGGCTTTATCACCTTTGAATCTCATTGACCTGTTTTACTGAGTTTGTAAATCGGGGAACACAGGTGTGCAAATGTCCTTCTATTAACTCCACGACGCATAAAAGTCTATTTTATGAACGTGTCAGCTGTCTTTTATGTAGGCCTTTTATACTGAAAAAGATGGAAGTATATTTCACAACTGATGCATAGGTAAAGAGGTTTTACTGGGGATTCTGGCTGCAACACTGATCCTGTCAACATTATATCAATTGGGGTGATAAAAGTGGAGAGCATCAGGAATATAAACTTGAGATTCAACACATTTGAATCAGCAACACATTTGTTTATCATCCATTGGTGAAGTCATATTAGCAATGCACATTTGACATTTATAAAAGCTTGGAGTGAAATCAGACAGAGCAGACGCATTATACTGTGCGTCACTCAGTTTTACTGCACTTGTTGATCTATATATGAAAGATTGATCCCATGAGGCGTTTATTTGCATGTATTGCTCCCAGCATTAAACAGTTTAAAAAAGAAAATAACAATTTGCAATGCTAGGCTGTTCAATATCAGATATTATCCCCCAATATTCAGAAAAGAAGCTGATCAATTTATGTTCTTGAATTACGTTATTAATTAAAAACAAAAAAAACTGATGACGCTGAAAAAATGCTGGGTTGTTAAATGACACACTCTAAAAAACAGTGAATAGCACTCCTACATTCACAGTGTAGTCCACCAGCTTAAATGGCACACTCCAAAAATGCTGGGTTGTTGTACTCTGACATTAGGGTAAATATGGACAAACCCAATGTTGGTTTACAGCAACACAACATTTTTTAGAGTGTGTCATTTAGTCTGGTGCAATACACCGTACATGTAGAACACATGGAAGTGTGAACCTTGCCTAAGATAAAGCAAAAAGATGATCTGGAATATTTGCCACAATCATTGATTAATCGTCTATGGTGATTTAATCTTATTGCTATATTTTTTTGTTGGACTGGATAAATGTGCACATGGTGAAAAGATGATTATTTTATGGTTACATTTTATGATTTTTATGTTTTTTTTATGGACAAAAACAAACAAACTATTACAATATATAATATAATATAACTTAATGTATAATATGTGGTGGAGCAGGCCGATGCAGTGGCGCAGTAGGTAGTGCTGTCGCCTAACAGCAAAAAGGTCGCTGGGTCGATCCTCGGCTCAGTTGGCGTTTCTGTGTGAAGTTTGCATGTTCTCCCTGCGTCGCGTGGGTTTCCTCCAGGTGCTCCGGTTTCCCACACAGTCCAAAGACATGCGGTACAGGTGAATTGGGTAGGCTAAATTGTCCGTAGTGTATGAGTGTGTGTGTAATGTTTCCTAGAGATGGGTTGCGGCTGGAAGAGCGTAAAAACTTGCTGGATAAATGCGTAAAAACTTAATGGATAAGTTGGCAAATCATTCCGCTGTGGCGACCCTGGATTAATAAAGGGACTAAGCCGACAAGAAAATGAATGTGGGGGAGCAGTGGGTAACACTGTTGTCTCACAGCAAGAAAGTCTCTGGTTTGAGCCTCGGCTGGGTCAGTTAGCATTTTTGTGTGGAGTTTGCATGTTCTCCCATGTTCACATAGGTTTCATCTGGGTGTTCCACTTGTAAGGGTGTTTCCCAGGGATGGGTTGTAGCTGGAAGGGCATCTGCTGTGTAAAACATAAGCTGAATAAGCTGGTGGTTCATTGCGCTGTGGCGACCCCAGATTAGTTAAGGGACGAAGCTGAAATGAAAATGAATGAATAATATAATATAATATAATATAATATAATATAATATAATATAATATAATATAATATAATATAATATAATATAATATAATATATTGTTCACAGCATTTAAGAAAATGTGCATTAAGTCCCACCTAATTATGTTTCAAGGTTTTTAAAATTTTTTATAAATTAATGTAATGGTGTATAATGATGGAAAATATAATTGAAAAAATATATAGCTTATTTATTAAAATAATTGTCATGGCCATTTCAATAAAGAGACTCTTGCTGATCAAAAGACAAGGTTTAATTCCAAAAAGGTTTTATTCTTTGCAAAGAATAGGTCCGACAGTCATACAGGAACACCGGTTGCTGCAGAGTGCACATAGGCTAACCAGCAGGTTTTATCTTCTTTCCCCTTCTTCAAGGCACACTGTCACAGATGACACCCAGTTCTGCTTAGAGCGTTCCTCTTCTGAGGATCAGGACATGGCTCCCAGGATTTGTGTTTATTGAATGCATATTTTAAAAAACAGATGACCCCCTTCTGAATGACCCTTCTTGTAATATGTTTTTGTACCATCTTTTCTTAGGAAGGCATATGTTTTCTAATATTTGGTGTTTCTAGTAAGAATGAGACGTTTTTTTAGAAATCAATGTTTTAGTAATAGTTAAAATGAATTTTTCCACCACATGATGGTAACTTATTTATTGTAAATATTTATCACCGTAGTCAATGTTCTATAAAGTACATTTTTTTTTATTTTTTATAATAATTTAATAATTATAAGGGGGGCCTGGTGGCACAATGGGTAGCCCTGTCGCCTCACAGCAAGAAGGTTGGTGGTTCAAGCCTCAACTGGGTCAGGTGGCATTTTTATGTGGAGTTTGCATGGTTTCCCCGTGTTTCCGGTTTCCCCCAAAAGTACAAAGACATGCTATAGGTGAATTGGGTAAGCTAAATTGTCTGTAGTGTATGTGAGTGAATGGGAGTGTATGGGTGTTTCCCAGTGATGGGTTGCAGCTGGAAGGGCATACGCTGTGCAAAACCTATCCTGGATAAGTCCCCGGTTCATTCCGCGTGGACAAATCTGAAAAGAAATTTAATGAATTGTTTATGTATTTAATGAATAATTAAATGAAAAAATACAATAAATGAACATGTTTATGAACATAAGCAGCAAGTAATGTCTTTAATGTTTGGTATGATTGGGTGAGCCGGTGCGATGATGTCATGGGCGTGCTGGTGGAGGGAGGGAGCAGAAGTTTGTCCGCTCAGGCTTACCATCCCTGTGGAAGTTTCATGCCATTGTTTCGTTGTCTTTCTGGTCGGAAACTTTGAAACTACGTAATTATAGTTCGCGTTTGGTTCAGAGACACTGCCAAATTCAGCTATGAGCTTATGAGAAGTGAGGCTTTTTGGTCGAGTAGCCCTAGTATGCAACATGTAGTTGAAGATACAAAGCGCATTTGTAGAGAAGAAAAGAGCTCAGAGACCAGGTAAGAGGCTGTTTGTGTCGCTGTGAATTATGTTTTCGGTGTCTGACGTTTGTTGGATGAATCATCGTGGTTAAAAAAACACGTGAGGAATGTGGAAACTGATCTAACGTTAACCACACAGTCCTCATTCATTTCACTTCTGCTGGTTTGTTTTTGTCGAGTTGTAGTTTCGTTATGTGTAGTTACAGAGCCGCATGCTACCTCGTCATGTTTTGTCTTCATATAGTGTTTGTTCATGATTTGTGTAAATGCATTATTGCAAAAGGTTTCATTCTACGATTAAGTAGCATATATACGTGTTTGTTTTCCTTTATTTGCTTTACGTGTTTTGTACTTTACACGTGGCTCAATAGAATGGATTAACTTTTTATTTAAAAGAAACGCTGTAAATGTTATATCTTTAATTCTTATTCAACACCTTGTTCAGAATGTGTTTTTAATTCTTGTTAGTTTTATATCTGTTGTAAATAATAACATTTTAAGTAATAATAAATCATGTTACTTTTGTAATTAAAAAATGTAGGCAATAAATTAGTGCAGGATCAACTTTGCATTGTAGTTTTCAAATTAGTTTAGATAAAAAAAGATTGTTAATCTTTGTTTGACGGTTAATCATCATCATAACACGCTCATTTAGCAATATACAATACAGAAACGCACATAAAATGATCATTTGCAATTCAAATGCAGTTGTTAAGGTAAGTGCCGAGCAAACTTTTTTCCCCCTGTGGATTTATTGAGGTAAAAGTTGGTTTAAAATTTGCACATTCTGACTTTCTCCTTAATAATAAAACTTCACAAAATATTCTTTGCCACTGTTGTACTTTGATAGTCATTTGCACCTTATATAATTCCCCTGTTTAGAATTTGCAAATAATACTTTCTGAAGGGAAATTATTAAGAAGATAAACTGTGCGAATATAAAACCAACTTTACCTCAGTATCTATTAAGACATGTGAAGTGATTAAATAAACTACTTTGCTTTTGTGAGGGACTAAAATCTTTCTTTCGTGAATCTAGGTGTTGCTGAATGCCATGAGCTGTTGAGCAGTGATGGCAGAGCTGGAGGTGGATCAATCCAACCTGCCCAGAGTCCAGGAGGGTAAGAGAAAGTTACTCATGCACATGTCTGTGTGCGTTTGACACTGCAAACAAACATTCAGGGGTGCCCAAACTTTTTCATCTAAAGGGCCAAAAACCAATCTTGATAGAGGCTAGTGGGCTGAAAGTAAATAAAGTTGCCATGGGTAATTTCCTAATTTATTTTCATAGATGTATACATACACTAGCTATCACACATGGACCCTAAGCATGCGTCAATAGCGCTGCCACATTGGTACAGTGCTCCCAGGACAAAAGTCATTCAACCGCACTAGTCTAGACTAAAGCCAATCTGAAGACTTAAGCGCTGTGTGCGGGTGTAGTAATGAGCAAACAAAGCACAAACATAGAACATTTCATAGGTAAGATTTCGTTGTTGTTTTTTTACATTTTTGTATATTGTGAACTTTTGTGCTAATCAAGTAACATTACTGATGACAATAGTCTCTTACTGCATTGAACATAAGGCAAAGTAGCAACAATTTGCACTAAATTCAAGGCTTATACTAGTTTTGTTAAATAAAATAAGCAAACAATGTAAATGAAATATGACAATTAGATGCTGCGGTGCTAGAAACTTGTATTATTGTTGATTAAGTAAAGGAGTCGTTCATAACGAAGATTCATTCACAAACTAATCACTACCTCCGTTAGAATGAGTAGTGAAAGCAGGAAGAGGGGGTGTGTTTCAGAACACAGATTAGATCAAAATAGGTAGGATAATACAGTTCCATTCACACAAACACATGCTCTTTGTCAGCAATGCCTGTGCGGTCACTTATCCATCGATTTAGAAAAGTGATGTAAAATTATAATTTTCGTAATTTAAGAAAATATTTGCATACTGACCACTGGGAAAATTCCAGATCGTAGATGTATGTATGTGTATATCTCTGGCTCTGGATGGCCACAGTCCTCCACTGCACCTTGGGCCCGCATTCATTTCAAAGGAGAGCTGCCCTGTACTAAAATGGCAGCTATATTGACGCATTTCTTCCAATAGACAACAACAGGGTAGACGACATCTAATGTAAATATCTATGATTTATTTAATAAGGTTTAAAAATAACTAGAAAACATTGCTTCACATTAACTAATGCAGTATTTATTTTACATTTTATGACAAACTTACAACAGTAAAAACAAAACAATCTAATTTATGACAGAATTTCAATCGTTTTTGCCTTGTTTTGCTCTTCTGCGTAGTCCTTTATCCGTAGAGTGACAGTATTTACATTTTAAAAAATGAGATTAATTTGCAATATTTAATTGAAGCATTTAATTTCAGTTTCCTTTTTTGTAGCTCAGCAATAGAACAAACAAAAATGGTTACATCAAAATAGAAATGATGATCTCTGTACAAAAGGAATTCACCCCAACCCTCTCCATCATTCTCACTTTTCTCTCAGACGGGGTGGTGGGTCAAATCAAAGGTTACGATGGGCCAACTTTGGCCCGTGGGCCCTACTGTGGGCATCGCTGTTCTACATGATACATATCCATGGCTTGATTGTTGATGCCGTGTGATAGGCAGAGATAGACTAGTCATATTTCATGTTCTGCATGTTTTTGCATCTGACATCTGATTATCATTCCAGACATCTGCTGTATCTCTCTGAAGTCTTTTTTTTTTCCATTGGAGAAAGAAAGAACCTTTCCATATGGCTTTGTTTGCTCATATTTTGTCTCTTTGGTTCGAGTCCTACATAAAGGAGCTTGACCCAGTGTTTCTTTTGAAGGGGGAAATGTTGGTGATGATTTCCCTTTCCGTTCCCATTCTGTACACAATGAGTTCATTGTTTTGCTTTTGTATCTTTATGCTTAAACAAGCTCTAGATGTTGAACAAAGACCCTATTGGACCACCATACTGCCTGCCTGTATCACCCAATTAACTAATGCCTGTGTTTTTATATACGTGTGTTTTACTGTTCCCATCGGGCTTATACCCTTTTAACATGGCCTGTGAGCAACAGTGTTTTCATTTCCTCAGTTTGTTTTTGGTACTGGTTCCCCAAAGCATTGAGAAATAAATATATGTTAGCGAGCCGTCTTTGTCTTCACTCGTCTGTTATCGGTTCCTGTGGATGTGTTTTTGCTCTTGGTTTAGTCTTGGGAACACTGTCTCTAAATCGCAGATCCCTTGAGGAAAAGCAGCCTCTTTCCTCTCTGCACTTTAACCCCTTTGCATTGCTTCTGTTTTCACTGACCCTTTTTCCTCTCGGTGCTGTGAAACCTTTGCCCAGGCAGATATTTATATATGTCTGGTTGTTGCACACTTTGTTTATGCTACCATTCAAATGGCTGGTGTTGGCTTTATTTTCTTTGAAAATATTTTCAAAAGGAACATTAAATTAGTTAATAGTGGCAGTAGAAGTTTTACTAAAATGTCTATTTCAAATAAATGCTACTTAAAAAAAAAAAAAAAAAAAATTTTCCACAAAAAAAATAATAAATTTGCTGCAAAAATTATAATCTGTAATAAGAAATGATTCTTGAGCATCAACAATAAAGAAAATTTAACTTCACGTGAATAAATAAAACAAAAAAATTGTATTAAAAAAAATACATTTGTATTATTACAGTACCGTTTATTTTGTTTATTTTAATTAATTAAAATGTTGATTTTATCACAATTTAATTTTTAAAACATTGTTTACATTTTATTGCTGTATTTTTCCTGGATGTTTAGCATCTTTGTGTTTATATAACTTGTGTATTATTGTTTTTTGACATGCAGAATTAGATTCTGACGTGGCAATAAAAACAGCATTTTTTTAATTGTATTTCAAGTAGCATATACCATATCAAGTCTTTGACATTTTTGTACGTGTTTTGATCAATTAATTAATCAATCATTCATTTATAGAGCACTGTAAAATCATACCTAAAACACAATTAAAACACAAGCAATAGATGTAAATAATGTAGCATCATTCCAGTTTCTACTAAAACATTTCATCCCACTGTCTGTCTCAATCTCTGTTTTTCCTGCTGCAACCAATGGCACTTTATCTTATCTTTTAAGTGAGTGAGTGGCCTTCAAGAGATCTTGTTTTCACAAAATGCATTCAAACACACGTTTTGCCTGCCTTTTGTAATATGAGCGTGTTTTTGGCGTGGCTTGTGCAAAACTAGTTAGACAACTTTCTATCCACTCCCTCAGTTCCATCAACGCTTCAGCCAGACACCTGAATGTTTAAACGCAGCACTACCAGAACTGGGCCAGTAGCTTCAAACCCCTCCTCCTAAAATGAAATATGTAGTGCAGGTTAGCAGGTGCTTAAGCTGTCCAGAAGAGTCCCTTTTAAAGTGACATTTAACACAGGTGCGCTCCCTCTACCTCCTGGCTAGACTAAAATGGATGAGACATTCAGCGAGTGAATCTGTAAGTGTGTGTGTATGTGTGTGTATGTTTTTTTGACGGTGCAAGGTTGTTAGCAGTTCTGGTGTATCTCTGCTATTGATAAAGACGAGGTGAAATCCCTAGCATTGGCAAGATTATAACAGTAGGTGGGAACTTGTGTCAGCGCCCGAACAGTCTTATCAGCTTGGGTGTAGTGAAGGACACATTAGTGTTTAGAGAGAAGAGCAATGTGTTTTCCTGGTATAATCCAGCTGTCAGTAGCATATTCTGTTGTTCTAGTGTTATCAGGATTGTGTTGGCTGAGAGAATCAAGCCTGATGTTTTCAATTATTAGCTGTAGGCGTATGGGCTTGGCTAGCATGCTAGGATAGGCTACACACGTCTTGCGCTTCTTTGGAGCGGTAGTTATAATTATTATTTGGATACTGAAAATTGATAGCCCACTATTGCATATTTAATTTTTTTAATTTTAATTTCGTAAATGACTAGATGACTAGAGGCTTGATCCTAATTAAATTGTTTGGAGTAGGATATGAATAATGTTGTTCTTGGCTAGCATGTTTGCTTAGGCTGCACGTGTCTTGTATTTCCTTAGAATGGTAGTTATGATTATTATGGAGATTGATTATTTGATAATTTAGCAGATAGTCCTGTTTTGGTAGTTATATTTAATTTAATTTGAGTTTGGAAAACAGTGACTAGATTTGAGCTTAATCCAAACTAAATTGATTGGACTGTGATGTGTAATCTTAAAATAATCTGTAAAATATAGTATAATATAAATGCTTGGAGGATGTTTAAAATATTTTGTTTCTAAAATGTTTACAGATGACAACTTTATCAGAACAATACTCTTACATACAGATCTGCAAAAATGACTTAAATGCTGTTGATTACCAGTGGTTAGCGATGTTAGTTGGTACACTGGGATTTTTAAGTTTAAGATCTTCAAATGTTCAGAAACACTGTTGTGAAGTGTGCATTTCGAGTTCCCAAAATTTTGCCAACTGCCAAGACCCATGCAAGGTTTAATGGTTTCTTTGAAATCGTGTTCAAATACCATAATTGCTTCTTCATGCATTTTGTAAATTTGATGCTGATGTAAAAATATGTTTTTTGTGTGTGATTTTACAACATTCAGAATATGCAATTAGTTTTTTTTTTTTTTTTTTCAGTTGCTGACGTTCAGATCTTACTTGCATCCTTTTCAATGCCTTAAAGCATGCGCGCGCGCACACACACACAAACACATATATGGTTGAAGTCAAAATTATCAGCCCTCTTGTGAATTATTTTATATATTTTTCAACTATTTCCTAAATGAAGTTTAACAGAGCAAGAAATCTTTCATAGTAATTTCTATATTTTTTTTTCTTTTAGAGAAAGTCCTACTTTTTTGTCAGATAGAATAAAAGCAGTTTTAATTATTTATTTATCGTTTTACAATATAACAATTAACACAATTAACGAAAGGAATATTTAACATTAAAAAGCATCAGAGTATACAAATCTAAAAACATACATAATCAAATTCAGTAAAGCAGAAATCAAATAACAGCAAATAAGTGGTCAGTGTGATAACAATGGGTATTATCTACACTGAAATTATTTAAGTTAAGTGGTTGTAAACTATTTATTTGGGCTAAATTTAAACAAATTAAGTTGAACGTTACTAAATTTAATTTGTTTGTTCAAATGCATCCATTTTGCAGACATTTTTTCAGTGTAGGCACAGCTCAAAGGGTTTATAAATGGTCCAACATATTCCAGGTTTTTAAAAATACGTGTGTTTTGTTATTTAAACTATATATTAAACATTTCAAATGCAGCGTGTCTATTAAAATATTTTTGAATTATTTAAATGGAGGGTTTTACACAATACATTTACTAGATACATAAGAACTCAGACTTATCCTTTTGGTAGATCTATGGTCTGATACTTCAAGTCTGGCTCAAAAAGATATATTAAAGGAATCTTGTAATATCTCTTTCCCAGGATTATTACAGAAAACATTACTACAGTATCCCAAAACTGATTTAGCTTTTAATAAAATCCATTTTTAATGTTTACAAAAACATTAAGTTCAATATTTTTGCCTCCTTAAGCAATTTATTTTTTAATTGTCTATAGAACAAACCATTATACACGTATTTGACTAATTACCCTATCTTGCCTAATTAACCTAATTAACCTAGATAAGCTTTTAAATTGCACTTTAAGCTAAATATTATGTTGAAAAATGTCGAGTAAAATATTGTGTACTGTCATCATGGCAAATATAAAAGGAGTCAGTTATTAGAAACTAGTTATTAAAACTTATGTTTAGAAATGTTGTGAAAAAAATCTTTCCATTAAACAGAAATTTGGGGAAAAATATACAGGGGGCTAATAATTCAGGAGGGCTGATAATTCTGACTTTCACTATATATATACAAAAATGACTTATAATTATATACACACACAAACACTGCAACTGTTGATATTAGAGTTCTTGTCATCCCCTATCCCCAGGCATAGAGTATGTTGGCTGCTGAACAAAACAAACCAGCTACTGGGTCTGCAGAGCCTCCGGACGTCTCAAATGAGGACAAAGAAACTGACCATTACTGTATGTTCTTTCCTTATCTGTACACTTTCCTTCTGCCTCTCCAAAGTAAACAGCACAATCTCACTATCCTCCTGCACAGCTTAACATCTTTTTTTCTGCTGCTGGCACATCTGGAAAGCATTCCTCTTGAGTGCAGGCGTATGCATGTGTGAGTGCGTGTGTGTGCTCGGGTCAGTGTGGAAGTGTGAGGGCATTGTTGGGAGGTGCTTGTGTAACCTGATATGGGTTATCGCAACCTGCAGCAGGTGGGATCAAGCAGGAAATACATTTGTCTTGTTGAAACAGTGGCATTTATATTTGGAATACCCCGAAGAATGATTATTTCTCTCTGCTAGCACTTTTTGGGGGTGAGTAGTTTGCCCCTACCAGACGGAACGGTTAAGGCTCGCAGCTAAACATAGATTTCCACCAGCTGCTCAGGGTCAGGGGTTGTGCTGAAGTCAGTATGTCTCCATTAGGATATTATGGTCCAGCCACTCTAATTCAGTATAATTGCTCAGCCCATCCTGAAGTAAAGCAGATGTGCTTTCATTTTAGTGTTTCAGTCTTGCTAAGTATGAATCCAGGAGTTGCAGTGATGAGGCGGCTCTTGATTTAGGAAAGCACTCACTTTTACTGCTCTCATAGTCTGTAATGTTCTCGGTCCTGACCAGCAGTAAAGCCTCAGTCTCCAGCTGTTGTGTCAATTACAGACTACATACTCGTTGCAACTCCCTGTATAGCTGAATTTGAGGTTGCTTCTGACTATATTTGAAACTGGTGTGCACTGTTTGCAGATTTCCTGCTGGGCGGTGCAGTTGGTTTTTTGGATTTGCCATCATCTTCTCTATGGGATCCATATTTGTTGTGCGGTAACACTAGTGACAATGGCAGTCAACACAAATTGATATAAATAGTTTTGTTATCAATAGTGCTGCAAGATATTGGAAAAATCTATCATTGCGATATTTATTTATTTTGCGACATATATTGCAATATGAATACAATATCATCAGATAACTTAAAATCTTTATTTGGAAAGAATTTACAATGTTTGGGATTGATTGGGATGATTCTGCAGTGGGACTGCATCTCCATAAAATCTAATAATATAACAATTTATAAACCTTTTGGGGTCCCCTGACACATTTTCGATGTGGTCTGTGCTATTTGTAGAGCATTTCTGTGTTTGCATGTGTTGTATTTTCATGCATACCAATCCATAAACCCAGTCAAGAAAATGATACAATTGAAAAAGGTTTTTTGGAGTCTTAACATACTGTTCAAGTATAGTAACTGAATGATAAGAATGAAAATAATTCAATAAAGTTAATTGTTGTTAGTCACAAATGGTACAATTTCTTATGCCTGGATGCTTTTACAAACTCAGCATTGCATGTCCTGCGATGCATTGTGATAGTATTAGTGATGCTAAAGCAGTATATTTTGCAGCCCTAGTTTTCATCCACCTGTTTTATGTGCATTTGAGGATATAACAGAAAACGTTGGGTATAAAACAAAAGATTTACTTAAATTGTAAAAATTTCATTTTCAATTTATTACTAAAGCTTGATGAAATGCAACTAGTGTTGTGTGCCGAACAAAACAGATAGTAATTTAAAACATGATCAAAACATAAAGCACACACATAAAAGGGAGCTTTAAAAATCGTGGAAGTTAGCCAGATGAAATAGAAATGTTTTCAGTCTAGATTTAAAAATAGTGTTAGAGCAGTTATTATTTCCACAGGAAGGCTGTTCCATATTTTTGGAGCAGCTATGGCAAAGGCTCTATTCTACCCTCCATTTTGCTCTGTAAACCACGAAGAGCCCTAAATTGGCTGACCTAAGAGCTTTTGAAGGTTGATGTTTTATCAGCAAGTCAGAGAGATTTTCATTTTTTTTCGGCTTTGTCCCTTTTAATGAGGGGTTGCCACAGCGGAATGAACTGCCAAATTAATCAGCATATGTTTTACGCAGCATATGCCCTTCTAGCTGCAACCCAGTTATGGGAAGCGCTCATACTCTCTCATACGCACATACACTACTGCCAGTTGGTTTATTCAATTCACCTATAGCGATGCTTTTAGATTGTTTGTATGTCATTTGTTAAGGATATGTTCTGGGTAAAATAATGTTAAGCTTATTTGATTGCTTCAGCTAGGGCTGCACAATGTATCATTTCAGCATCAATATTGCAATGTGCTCATTCGCAATAGTCACATCACGAGCAAATGCAACATTAAGTCTGGTTTACAATTTATCAATTAGCAAGTATTTTTAAGACCATGTGAGGGTTTTAAAAGCATTCTGGCATAAGAAATTGTACTTTTTAAAACTTTAACAAATAGATAACAATTGAATTGTTTCTAAAATAGTTTCTGCAGTATTATTTTACATGTGATGAGTAAATTTCTGAATACCTAAATACAGTTTGAATCATCAGAAAAAAAAAACAAGCGCTGTTTATTTAGTTGATATCTTATTCTTATGTACATTTATTTTTTTTTTTTTTTTATAAATTTGCAACAACTTAAAAAAACTCTCTTTTCCCATTGTCATTATGGGATGTTGTGTGTAGAAATTTGAGAAAATAAATAATTTAATCCATTCTGGAATAAGGCTGTTACATTAAAATAATGTGGAAAAAGTGAAGCGCTATGAATAGTTTCCAGATGCACTGTATATCGCAGAATAAAAAAAAAATATTGCAGTGTTTTTCTAATATCATGCATCAGCAATATTGCACTGTTTTTGTTAGTCTGTCTTGTTTTGTTTTTATCACATCAGCACCTTATATCAATATACAATGCAATACTTTCTCCATTCGCATTTGTACACAGCATCTTATAACCTGTATATTTATAACAAATCTGAACATACAACTCAACATCCAGATTTCTTGACTTAATGCATCTCTGTTTAATGTTTATCGTCTTTTTTTCATATTTATTTTGTGTTGTCTCTTGTCACTTTATGTACACTGGAAGCTTCTGTAGCCAAAACAAATTCCTTGTGTGTGTGAAGCACACTTGGCAATAAAACTGATTCTGATTCTGATACTACACTATTACTCCTAGCATCAGCAATATTACTAGAAAACAATAGTTCTTCATCCATCTAAAACGGCAGTCTTACCACTTCAAGGACAACTTGGGAAAATTTAGTACATTTACGGAGACAAAAAATGCAGTTTTCATATTTCTGCTTTTAAACCAATGAAAAACTTTACCCCCTTGACATTCTAAAATGTTGTTTGGTTTTATAACTTAACTTGGAGACAAATTATTGTCAAAACAGATTCCTTTTAAGATTCTTTTTCAACACAAGCTTTCATGGGATGTGTAGGACTTAAACGCGGTGTTTAAAGTGAAATGTGAAACTTACAGGGCCAAAACCACAAGTGTAAATTTGTTTTGAACTTTCCAGGGTCAGTTTTTGTCATGCAGACTATTATTATGGCTTCATAAAATTTGAGAGTCTTGTTTTTAAAATTGGTAAAACTTTAAGATGCAACTTACTTTATTTGTTATGAAATATGAGACACGAATATAGTTGTTTAAACATTTTTTAATGAAGCTTTAAATTGCTTTTTTTTTTAATTGACCACTTAAAGCATGAAATAACAAGGCTCAAATGTCTGCATTGTCTCCAGAAATAGCTTTGAATGTGTATTATTTCTAGTTAAAATAGTGTACATACTTAACTTCTACTCTCTGAATTGATCCTTAAGACAACTGATGAAAGTTCAGAAGCTTATCCTGTAGCCTGAAGTTTTGGCCAGTTGTATTGACTGCTGTTTCTCTACAGTGTGCCAGTGTTTTGCTGTACTGGAGGATGGAGCTTTAGCTCATAATCTGCAAGAGCAGGAAAGTAAGTGCCTTTTCCCCTTTTTTTTCTTGTGCCACACCTAAAGCAGTGTTAACACAAGCTTAAAATGTGTTTTCTCTGCCTTGACATATTCAACCATCTTTTTTGTACATTTCCAAAGGGTGCTGGTATTCACACATTTAGAAATACAAGAGCATGTCAGTACAAAAATAAACTCAAGATCTCAAATCTGAGTCTGTAAAATTGAAATATCCTGAAAGATCTGAGTAGGTAGCTGTATAGAGAACAGAGATTGCCAAATTAATATTTGAGTTATGTTGGGCACACACCACAAGATAAGCAGGCTGATTTTAATTTCCTATTTATGTTATTGTTCAAATGACCTTATCAGATTTTTTAAGGCATGAGGTGTGTTAAAAGTGGCTTGGAAGTATGTTGGAGGTGTTCCAATCATTCATTCATTCATTCATTCGTTCATTTTCCTTTGGCTTATTCCCTTTATTCATCAGGGATCACCACAGCGGAATGAACCATCAAATTATCCAGCATATGTTTTACACAGCGGATGTCTTTCCAGCTGCACTAGGTACTAGGAAGCATCCATACACATTCGTTTACACTCATACACTATAGCCAATTCATTTATACCTCATGTCTTTGGAAACCCAAGTCAACATAAAGAGAACATGCAAACTCTACACAGAAATGCTAACTGATCCAGCCGGGGCTTGAACCATTGACCTTCTTGCTTATTGTTTAATATTTATGATTCATGATTGTTGAATATTTAAGATTTATCATTAGAGCATCTCTGATATTCTTCTGAGGAAATTAAGGAATCCTGAAGTGTAAGGGAAACCCTTAGAACAAACTGGATAAACTGGAGATTTTCACAGGAAACAAACTGTTTAGTTATTTATCAAATACAGCTGCTCAAAATTAAATGGATACGGACAGCAGAAATGAAGGATCAGCTTGTCCAATTGTGGCTACAGCCCGAATGTTAGTTTATTTATTCACCTATTTGTTTGGTAAGTTTATTCTCAATTCTTGAGTGATTTTGCAAAATGTCCTGTGTTTATATGTGGTACAATTTTGGTCTGTTCTGCCTTTGTTACATTGTGGCATATCACACACTATAGAAGCAAAATGGTGAAATCTAGGATTTTTTTTTTGTCCTCTTGTTGGTGCTCTCTAGCGTTTTGATCTTTATAAACTGTAATATATATATATATATATATATATATATATATATATATATATATATATATATATATACACACACACACATACACACACACTAACACGTATACAAAACTAATGTTTACAGTGGGCTTTTTAGTGTTTTTTTATTCTATTTCTAAGCACTTTTCTTTTATTGACAACAGATTCATGTTTTCTAGTCAACTGAAACTTAATTTGCTATCACTTTAAACCAAATTAAACTCATACTTGTTGACAAAATGTTAAACTTTTTTTATGTATATAAAATATTTGATGTAATTTATAACAATTCCAACAACAATTCCAAAACTAACACTTGTGCTAGTCTTTTTTGCTTTCCGGTGTTCCTTTGAAACCCTTCTTTTGTTGAAAATTGATTGATATTTTCTAGTATTATGAAAAACTGCATAAAAAATATACAGTTGAAGTCAGAATTATTAGCACTTTGGTGCGTTTTGCACTCACACTACAAACGTACCGTGCCAAAGCCCAAGTGAACCGCTCTCAGGCCCAGGGCCTGGGCCGGCCAAGTGAACCGTGCTTGAGAAAAGATTAAATAAATCAGTTATTAGAAATGAGTTATTAAAACTATTATGTTTAGAAATGTATTGAAGAAATCTTCTCTCTGTTGAATGGAAAAAATAAACAGGGGGACTAATAATTCAGGAGGGCTAATAGTTCTGACTTCAACTGTATACCCTTTACTGTCACTTTTGACCTAATGTAATTCATCCTTGTCATTCTCATCACACATTTTAAACAGTAGCATTTTTTCCCCATCTGCTTTACGATAACTTCTCATGTTGTGTCCTCCACCAGTCGAGCAGTACTACAGCTCAAATGTGGAGAGGAGTCAGCTGGTGCAGAGGGACATCAGAGTAGCCAAGAGACTGCAGGATGAGGAGCAGCAGAGAGTGCAGACGCCACAGCATCAGACCACTCGTCAGCTGTAAGATAGCAAACACACCGTCTATCAGAGCACACCATATAAGATATGACAGTTTACTCAATATACTTATATAATATACCTATATACTTTATATGACCATTCAGGAGCTGATAGCATGTCCAGAGTCCACCAGTTTCCCATGTGTGTGATAGTCCATGCATTTCCTTGTTACATTAAAGGGATAGGTCAACCAAAAAAGAAAGAAAATATACTCGCCCTCAAGTGCTTCCATACCTTTAAGGTCTTATTCTTTTGAACATCAAAGATATTGTGAGGAATTTTGTAGACTTTGACATGCTTAATAATAAAAAAAGTATTAAATTTAATGACTATTGATTGACAACATTCTTCAAAATATCTTATTTTGTATTTGACAGAAGAAAGACACTCAAACAGGTTTGAGATAAGGGAAGGTTGGACTTAAACCATATCACAATATTTTCTGGTGTTATTGCAATATTAATGACAACATAATTCATATTTAATTACCCAAAAACAGAAATGCTCTGTATTTTTAGAGATAAGTGTTCGTTTGTTGTCATTTGTATATTTTAAAATGTTTGGTCAATTTTTATTTATACGATTTATTATGTTTATATTGCCTACTACTGCATTCCAATAGAGCTCAACCATAATCAAACACACTGAAACAGCTAATCTAGCTTTTCAGAATCATATATAATAAACCAGCAGACGTGCTAAAGTATGTTAAAAAATAAACTTTGTTCCCTGGCACCCACTGTCCTGCAGAGGTTTTTATTTATTTATTTATTTATTTATTTATTATTCATGAATAAAAATATACAACTGCAATCAGGAGATCAATATAAGAGGAGGACTATACAAGTTACGATAACTGCAAAGAGAAAAGAGACTAACAAAACAAAGGAAGGGGTAAGTTAATTACAATAGTATAAAAGTGTATGAAAATAAAAAAAATTAAGAGGATTACAGGACATTTAACTAAATCAAGTCAGTCAATAGACAATAGCTCTTCATATAGAACAAAATATCTGACACATTTTTTGTTCTTCCACATACAGAAAGATTTGAATATCTAGAAATTGTTGAAAAGTTGGAATTAAAGCCATGCATTTTTCTTTGTTTAAAAAATGTCCAAACAAAGTAAAAAAGGTGAAAAGAAAATATTGAGATTTATGTGCAGATTCTGAGTAATAAAAAAAATTAAACTAAAAGAATGCGAAAAGGTAGAAGGGGTGTTTAAATAAAGATACAATTCGAACCAAAACTTCTTTACAAGTTCTCACACACACCAAATAAATGTATTCTCACTCTTCTGCAGAGGTGAAGATCTCTGAAACAGTGTTGTGATCACACACTGTAACGTTATTTCTGTTCCTTTCATACTGGACGCTAGAGGGCGCCATCATGCATAAAGTACATATAGATTTTGCTGAGCAAAGAGGTTAAGGCTTAAAGAAACTGAAAAATACATCAAATTTAAAAAAAATAAAATAAACAAATGCTTGTGGGATTATCAAAACTATTACTTTTTTTCAAGCCATACTGGGTATTGTATGACAAAGTGTATTAATAATTTAATGCTAACCTAGCTTTTATCACTCAAGTGAATGCTGTAAAAGGTATGATTTCTCATTTTTCTCATTCTGTGAAATGAACCATATTTAGCCACAAAAGGAGGATTTCAAACAGACTGTAGTTATGAAGTGAATTTAAATTTATGTCAGAAAATCTGTTTCTTATCAGGATCATATGGCAAGGCATAAATACACATGCTAATAAATCATTGCATAAACCGATTGGAGGTCTTTTTGTTATTATGATGTCTGGTTTTTATCGTGGGCAGAATTTTAAGCAGTATTGCAAATGATAAGATTAAACTGTCCTTTTAAATGGTAGTTATTATGCAAAAAATTGCTTTACAAGGGGTTTAAACATCGTTTTGAAGGTAGAGCTGGGAGCTCAATCTCATTTTAATTTAAAGCAACGGTCACCAAATCGGCACAATTTTTATCATAGTCTATAAGGGGCAGTTTCAAAAATTTACGGATAATTATTTGTTGGTTATTTTGAGCTAAAACTTCACATACACACTCTTAGAGAGTTATAATAGGTGTATTTTAAGTAGAACAGACATTTTGTTCAGTGGTTTTCATTTGCTCAAGTATGTATTATTCTCCATAGGGAGGAACGGGATTCCGAATATGCACGCATGATTCAGGAGGAGATCCAGCGGTGTGCTGAGGAGGCTCGAAGGAGGGAAGTTGAGGACGAGGTGAGTAACACTAAATTTCACCTCTTCTGTTTTTCATTTGCACCTCTGAGCTCGTTTGTCTGAGGGATCTAATGGATCAATAGTTAATGAGTCACAGTGGGACTGCATTTTATTGAGCTAGTCTCCTGTAGTTTATAAGCGCTGACTAAGACCACACAGGAATGAGCATCAAACTATTTTAAAGCAAAAAGTCACACACATACTGCGCATGAATCGAATCCAGATGCATTTATCTCCACAACAAGAGGCCAAAGTCTTCTCCATCCGTAAATCACACGCAAAAAGGGTGAGTGTGGAAATGTTGCACTCCAGAAATGAAAGGAAGTCTTTATAGATTTGCAGCTTTTCTTGCTGGGGGTTCGGTATGAAGCATCCTATAAATGTTAGAGCAATTACTTGTGTTGGAGGTGTTATGGTGTTGTTATTTGAAGTTCAGTCCAACCCCTGTTGTGCCCTAGAGCTTAACTTGTGGTTGGTTTAGAGTGGGCTGGCCATGTTGCAATTATGCTGAACATGGTTTAGGGCAGAGGTTTCCAAGCTTTTTCATATGAAGGGACAAAAAAAACTAGACTTGATTGAGGGCGGTGTTCTGAAGAAGGTAAATCTGCCATATGGTGATTTTTCTCATTTATTTAATATATAAAAATAACTAAAACGAATTGTTTTATATTATCTAATGCAGTATATATTTTACATTTTATAATGAACTTATTTTAGTAAAAAAACAAAACAATCCAATTTATAACAGAATGGAGTTAAACTAGTCAAGCTGCTGTTTTTTTTGCCTTGATTTGGACTCCATTATCTTCTGCATTGTCCTTTTTCTGTCCTCTAGTAATGGTTTTTATATATTTTTTAAATAATTATAGTTACAGCTTTTAAACATTTATTTTCAGTCTGCTTTTTTGTAGTTCAAAAATGAAACAAACAAACAAAAAAAGTCATGATCTTTGTGTTAAAGGCATTCATCCCAACCCTCTCCATCATTCTCACTCTCTTCTCATGTGGAATGGAAGGCTAAATCAAAGGTTACAATGGACCAACTTTGGCTCTAGTTTAGACTTTTTTTGGTTTAGTTTTATCTAAATATAATATTTCAAAATGTAATTTTTTTTTAAGCTTTTAAAGTTTAGAAATATTAATTAAGTGTACTCATCCGAAATGTTTTTGTGATTTTTCAATACATCACTTGTAACAGATTGCAGTAAAGCAAACATTTGAAACAAATGCATTTTTAAATTTTTCCTGTTGTGGGTTTTCTTTAAAAGAAACACAATCAGAATGCTGAATATCAAAAAATCTACATGTAAATCTGCAATAATGTTTCCTTTTGCCCAACTGAATATCTACTGTTCTTATTGCAGTACACACAATAGTTAATATTTCTTGGATCAGTAAATGAACCATAAATAATTTCTCATAAACTGTATTTTAAATAATTGTTTATTATTTTATATAGTTTTGGTGTATCAGTACTTCTGCTTCCTGTTTGTTCATGTGTTAAGTGAAGTTTATTTATAAACTAATTTCGAGAGGGGGACGTGATTGATTAATCATAGCTGGTCCCGCATAAACTAACGCATTGTTATTAACTAGAAATATGTCATGTGCCGCTGTGCATAGAGCCCATTGAATCATTATATAATTTTAAAAATTAGGTATGTAATAAGTGCATGACTTATGTTTGTCTCCTACAAACTGACAAATGAGTTAAATAATTGTCTTGATCTAAAACAGAAACTCGCTGTCGCCTCACAGCAAGAAGGTCGCTGGTTCAAGCCTCGGCTCAGTTGGCATATCTGTTTGGAGTTTGCATGTTCTCCCTGTGTTCGCGTGGGTTTCCTCCGGGTGCTCCGGTTTCCCCCCACAGTCCAAAGACATGTGATACAGGTGAATTGGGTAGGCTAAATTGTCAGTTGTGCGTGCGTGCGTGCGTGGGTGGGATGCGTGTGTTTTCCCAGAAATGGGCTGCGGCTGGAAGGGCATCCGCTGCGTAAAAATGTGCTGGATAAGTTGGCGGTTGTGGCAACCCTGGATTAATAAAGTGACTAAGCCGACAAGAAAATTAATGAAGAAAATGGAAACTTCTAACAAGTTGCACAAAGCTTCTTCCCAGGAAAATAATTAGCTTTGTTGAATAGTTCTCATTTTTCAGTGAACCTTTGATTAGGGAATATTTCATTGAGTTGTTTGAAAACAGACGCAAGTGAGAGTCATGAGTTATTCAGCTGGAAATTGTTGACTCTGCAAGGAGAATAACTGAGTCAGAGAGTGGTTTGATACAGACTGTTATCATTAACAGATGATCTCCAAGTCTGAGAGTCATTGTTTTGACTAATTCTGAGCTGACTAAGTTTTTATAGTCCTGTAGGATTCTTCATGACTCATAAATTTATAGTGACACATAATCTGCTCCTGCAGGTATTTTTTATGGTTGTAAAGCAGGTCTTGGCATGCCTGATTCACTGCAGAAACTTTATTTATTTATTTAATTATTTTTTGCCTTGTTTTGTAGTAAGTTTATCTGAATGTCTTTAACCTATTAGCTGTCAGTGATTAAGCAAATCAACAGGTTGCTATTCTTCCTATAGTGCCTGAACAAAATCTTGTTTTTTATAATATTATCTTCAAGTTTATAACAAAGATGGGTTAGAAAATGTGTTTTTTATTATTTGTTATTCTTTTTATTTTGTAGCATTTTTGATAGCAAAATATTTCATGAAGTTTTATGTAAATAAAAGGATTAGCAATATTTACATTTTTTACTTATCCTTTTTTACATGCTCCAAAGCATTCAGAAGTGTGCACAATGGTTCATGTTTATGCCTCTGTTAATCTTATTATAATAAAAATATATACTTTATATATTTTCAGAGATTTTTTGGAAGTTTATCTTACCCTTCAGGTATAATTTTCAAATAAATAAAAAAGTTTATGTTTTGGTATGTTCACTGGAATAATTTGTATAATTTGTGTCCCTTGACAACAAAAGCCTAAGATGCACTTGTATATTTTTGGTCATATTAAAATACATTGTTTGGGTTAAAAAAATGTTAATTTCATGCCAACAATCATTAATCATTAATCATTGTGCAAGAGCTGTATTAAAGGTGAATATTGTGCAAAAGTTATTTAAGGTTAAATCAATCAATGCAACATGATTGTGGTACATCTATAGTAAGCATTATTTTCCTTATTGTGTTATAAGATAGAATTTGGATAAAGTGTCAGGTGCATGAGAGAGAAGAGTGTTTCTACAGGTGTCAAGCCCACTTACCTGTATGAAGCACAATTTGAAATGCACAATGATTCCAAGAGACATGGAGTGATTAAGAAATATTAAGTAAACATGTTACTTAAAGACATTTAATAAATTTCATAAAAATTTGAGATCTCGGCTAAATATTTTCCTTTCCCAACCATACAGCTATGAAAAGCTTTCTTGTTCCGCTTTTATGTGATGTTTAAATCTCAAGTTTAAAAAAAGACAACTATTGTCACATTTGTTTGTTACGTTTACATTTAAAGCAAGGTATATTGTCTGAAAATAGGCTATTACCTAGCAGTGTTTTTGTCTCAAGTTTATCTGTCTTTATTTTAAATTGTCCTTAATCTCATCATTAAATATTATGCTTTTTAAAAAATTAGCCTTATTAAAATATCAGCCTCCAAGTTATTGTTTAATTAATATTTACTAACAGCTTTGAAAAAAGTTTAAATCTGTGAGACATTTTGTCATAAAATGTCATTCCACTGCATTAATTATGCATATTTACACTCCTGCAGCCTGCAAGCCTGTGAAGCACAAGGTTGCATCTAAATATCTCCACACGCTGCCCCTGCTGTCCTATCAGAATCATACAGGAGCAGTGAAGAGCGACGTCTGTTCGCACTCTGCAATTTCTTACTGTTGAGTGCACAAACAATCATGTGGATAGAAGATTTTTTGTATATTGAGTATATTGATTTTTTTTGGGTAGGAGTTTAGGTGGCAGATAAGCTGGAGTCAAACACCATGAGACTGGAGCTGGTCTCTGTGTGAGGCAAAATCTGACTGTGGATTTAATTCTGCTTGTGTTGTGAATTCGGAGAGGTCAATGAAGCAGGCTAATTAGTAGAAAGATACCAGGATTTGATGGTAACCGACATGGGGTTAACCCTGCAAATGTTTTTTGATTTCCACTCAAAGCATTTAGAGCATGTATGGCATTACACAGAATTCAAGTTGCAAATTTTTCATTAAAAGTTTTTTTCAAAATTAAACTGACTTTGCATTTTGCAATATATACATTTATACACGTTATTTCCACTACCTAAAATTGAAAAAGTAAAGACATGCATTCAGGTCTCACAATAAATTCAAATCTTAAAAATGTGCTTTTAAAATACATTGAAAACAGTAATATATTTCTCTCAATTCTTCCACGTTCCGTTTTGCACCCCCTTGTGGCATATGGGTATTAAACTTTAAAGGTATAGTACAGGGGTCGGCAACCCAAAATGTTGAAAGAGCCATATTGGACAAAAACAAACAAAAAACAAATATGTCTGGAGCCCTAAAAAAATGTAAAGCCTTATATAAGCCTTATAATGAAGGAAACACATGCTGTATGTATCTATAGTAGCTATATTAGCCTACTATAAAAATGACTAAGTTGGCTACAAATGCATAATGAGCCTTCATGATTAAAAAGCCACTGAAATCAGGTGGTTGGTTTTTATTTTGTTGTCATTTAAACACTTCAGCACAGCCTCTGGTCTTTCAGTGATATTAATTTGATCATTTCTTCTTGCGGCCCATCAGTGTTCACATACCTGCATAAAAGCGCATTGAATATCGGTCACATCACAGGCAATTGAGTATGCTGGCACTGAATTAATGTCCTTGGTTTGCTGATTGGTGATGTTACCTGCCATTTTAATAGCCCTTTCCTTCACTGTCTTAGCGGAGAGAGGTATCTTTAATTTTTTGTATTATCTTGGTTTTGTTTTTGAAGTCTGCAATTACTGTAGGTGTTCTAATATGTTGATGAATGACTCCTTCATGTAGTCACCATCTGTGAACGGTTTTCCATGCTTTATCATCTCCCGGTTTGTTTACAACAGCCACCTGCCTGGCATCCCGCCCTGCTAATTGAAACCTGTGTCGCAGGCTATAACGCAAATCTTCGTTGACAGAAATTTTAAAAATTAAATATTAATTCTACACACTTTTACAGCATTTGAAAACGTTAAAAATGTTTGTCCTCCTATAGAAATCATATTAAAACAAAAATATATACTAACCTTGCCCATCTTTTTGAACATTTTTGAAAAAACTTCAGGGAGCCACAAGGGCAGCGCTAAAGAGCCGCATGCGGCTCTAGAGCCGCGGGTTGCTGACCCCTGGTATAGTACACCCAAAAATGCGAGCTGTCATTATCTCCTCGCCCTCTACTTGTGTAGTTTCTTTCTTCTGCTGAACACAAAAAAAGCATTTTTTATTAAAAATGTTTGTAATCCTACAGTTGATATTGACCATTGATGTCCATGGTATTTTAAGTTATTAATTTATCTTACTATGTAAGTTGGTTCCAAGTTTTTGGTTCTCGTCTCAAAAAAATTTTACTATTGTGTCTACTGTTACAAAAAAAAAAAAAAAAAAAAACTTGCACAGTTTTGGAAAAAGTAGAGTGATGACAATTCTTATTTTGGGGTGATCCATCTCTAATCTGGCCTATGCAAGAACACATTTAATTATAATACCGAATAAAGTGGATCTAATTGGATTTGCATTGTAAACATTTAATAAAAGTTATTTCATTTATTTTATTTATTTTAAAAGTATTTTTTTATTTTATATATTAAGGTTTTAGTAGAGGGGGAGCTTGAGCTTGAGCTTGAGCTCCACCTTTTTTGCACTTCTTCTACGAGTGATGTCACTGGCTGTAGGGTTAGGGGTGGGGTTGGTGTACGCATTAAAACAGCTTACAGGAGGAGGAGTGAGAGCTCATGCTCCCCCTCGATGGAGCTCAGCTCTGCTCAAATGGCTCTGCAGCGTGCACCCTCTCAAATTATTCAGCATAAATCCACAGATTTTTAACAAAATTCTGCACAGAAATAGCAAAAACTGACCACAGATTCTATCTGCCCTTACATATGGGGCAGAATAAATTATTTCAGTTTCGTTTTTGGGTGAACTACCAATTTAGGAATGGGTTGAATTTTTTTATGGTTCATTTCTGGTTGTTTAACTCATTTATGGATGTTTTTTCCCCAAGACAGCTTTGTCTACTACGTTATCTATCTGTATATTTTTATAGACTGTGCATGAGATACAAATTTCATGCCAGCATATAAAAATCTAAAGGTTCAACCAGGGGCATTGCTAGACCCCATATACTGTGTCAATATGTAGGACCACCTGTGTGTTCCATTAAAGTTTTTGTGGAAATGATCATTTTTATCTGCAGTAAAAAGCTCCACGTCAAATTATTATACAAAATCGTTGTAGTCATATGAGACGATCAAACAGTGGTCAGTGTGGTAATCGCACTGTAGGCTGTATGGTTCAAGTTAGATATCTTACAGCCGTTCTTTGTCAGTGGAAACTTCTGAGTCATTGTGGTCAGCTGTACGATAAATTGTGTCCTCGCTTCTATTGCAAGCCTAGCATTTAGCTGTTTGAAGATGCTTCTTGGTGGGCTTTTGTTTTAAGAGCGGGCATGGCCTTTGATGCACATTATGGAAATTCCCCTCAGTGACGTGCACAGTATCTCACAGTCGTCTGTTTGGAGTGAGCAGATGTATAAAACCCACACTTCAGTGCTACATCATCACTACATAACTTTCAATTAATTTGTTTCAATTCTGTAGCTTTACCTGTTTGTCTATATGTTAGAAATATGTAAAAATCCCAACAGATCCCTACTTTTCCAATCAACATTATAATCTGCAATAATAATGTTTTTTATTTTTTAGGAAATC